TAATGCTTTGTTTATATGTGAAACAAATACTGCAGTGGCCTTAAAGGGGACCACCACCATGGTCACATGATCAGTCGTGTGGAGGTAAGCTCCCAGTTGAAATAAAAGCACTGTCCTCCTTTGGTTTATGTGAAAAGTAGCTAATGCCCTCGTGTATTGGTCAGTTTGTGTGTCACACGACTAATCCACACCATATGCTTCATTCAACATATTTTATGCTATTAAGCTGCATATAAAAACACTACTTTGCAGTAAAAACGTACTACTGGATGAACTAAGGTTAGGGTAATTAAATTAGTTGTTTCTCATTCTTGCCCGCGTGTGGCTCAATCCCCCCTCCACCTTTTTTCTGCCATTTCTGAGAAAAAAACACTGTACCTCGCGCGCATCCATGGCGTGTGAAACACTTGTTTTTACTTTTTATGGATCAGGATAATTGACAATATTGTAGTACTGATATATGATCAAATATACCAGTAAAGTTGGCTAAATTCAACATATAAATTCAACATAAACTCAGTTTATGTCCTTCAAAATTAGTTATTTGTTTTTACAGTTATTTTAAAGAAAAAAATCATCCCGTCCCTCATCAGCATTTTAGATAGACAAAAAAGGTAATATAAAAACCGTCATTCCCGTATCAATTTTGAAAAATAGAAGAAAGAGAAACAACTAATTTAATTACCCTGGCCTAACATAAAATACAAAGCCACTAGCTAGCTCATACAGTATACTTACCCTTTGCAAATTGTAATTTATTGAATTCACAGTAAACCCATCAATTTAAAAAAAACAAAGAATATTGTTCTCATGGATCTATTATTCATGTTAAACTAACTATGAAAATATAAATATGAAATAATATGTTAGCTTGAAGTCATATATAAGATGAAAATATATGTTCATGCATTTGCATTTTTCCAAAGGGAATATATTCCCATGTAAGTAAATACAGGTGCAATATATAATTTGTATGTATACAGTATCTATGTCATCTGTCTATACATGCGCATATAGTGATACATTTGAACAAGATGATTCTGGAAAGAAATGAGCGTGGCAGATTTGCTAAAAAGCCACATACACCACAAAAGCAAGACCAATTTGAAAGTAAGTTCATTATTCTCAAGGGTACACTTCAAGTGAAAGCTACATTGCTACAGGGTGGCCTATCATTCTGAGACAAATGTATTATCCAACGATTGTGATTTTCGAAGCTAAAATATGATATCTTGAGCAGATGGAAATACATTCCCATGAGATATGTATATATAGTCAAAAGTGATAACTATTTATTGAGTGTAATAAAACGTATCCTTCGCTAACTGCTTTTGTTTGAGATAATTATAATGAAATATTTTTAAATTAATTTTTATGTGTGTCATTGATCCTAATCCACCCTGTAGTCTGATGTTTGTAGAGCATTGCACCTCGTACAACTTATTCTCACAAATATCAAACCTCATATGCTAATTAATTTTTTGTGTGAATATGAAGAGTCCAAGCATTGCTTTTTTATGTTTACTGTATAGCTATATTTAGCCTTGATATCCATGATTTTTTAAAACAAAATCTCACCGTTAGATTTCGAGCTATTCATGTTTACTCATTTTTCTAATTGGAAAACAATGCAAATCTCATTTTTTCAAAGGAAAAAAATTGAAATTCTAAGACGGTGAAAAATCATTAAAAAATACACAGATTCAGAATCCGGCAAGCATTTTCCCTTATTCCTCTCCGTTAAGAAGTTTTGTAAGGTGTTGGATCCCTTTAAAACATACCACACTTTAGACTAAGGCAGAACTTTAATGTCAGCTGATTTTCTTTTATATAAATTGTCTTAATTACAGATAAGCTACATCTCAATGTTCATGGTGTTTATTGTGTCAGGTTTTATAGTTGCTCTTCAAATTCATGTGTGGGTAATTCCTAAATAGTAAGCTGGTCAATATATTGTTATTTTCCTCAGCTATGACAGCCATGTGATATTCATTCCGTAGCTAAATTTTCATGCAATTGTTGTTATTTATTTATTACTTATTTATTAATTGTTTTCCCAAAGAGCAAAGAAATCTTGTGACACTTGAACTCCCTATGTTTATTCATCTATGAGAAAATAACATTTTATTCCACTTCCCACGCTTCACAGATATTTTTTCATGTATAAAAATATGTAAGAAAAACGAATATGAAAAATTGTCATATTTTTACACGAGTCTTAATACTATGCAATAAAAATGAGATATTTCTTAAGTAAGATTATGTACTTACCTGTTACTTGTGATGTACTTATTAAAATGTAGAAAACAACAGGTAAAACGAAGTGCATAAACATTCTGATATGTTAATATATTGAAATGCAGACCTTTTGTTAAGGCAGGGTTGTTTGTGTTAGTCTCTACTTGTATTTTATAACTTAACGATTTTTTCATTCTTCGATGATATTGAAAATTATAGCAATCTGATTGGCTCGGGTGATTTAGATATAGCCAGTATTTTATGTCGTGGGATACTAAATCCATATTGCACTCTTACGTCACTGTATATCATATGCTTAAACAAGCATTGTGAAATCGTTCTTGTGTATATATTTTCTGAATATTCTAGAATCAATGAATAACATAATATAACAGCAATCCCAAAGCGTAGTAAATCCCATCAAACAGCCATTGCTGCCATTTTTACAAAATCTGTCTACTTTTTTCAGTTGTAGCAAAAATCACAAAATAACACACATAAAAATGGGCACCATTTTCAAAATGGTTGCTCATTAGCCAAATTGTTATCAGAAAGTGGAATAGCTTCTAAGTTGGCACATACAGAATTTCAACAAAATTGCACACCATTACATATAAATTGCAGCCATTTTTCCAAATATGAACCAAATTGCTCTATTATTAACTCGTGTTTGAGTTATAGTAAAAAAACATAAAATAGCACACATAAAAATAGCGGCCATTTTTAAAATGGCTGCCTTCTAGCCAAAGTGTCATAAAACAGTATTCACATATCAAATATAACAAAATCACTTTTCAAGTTGCAGCAAAAATTGTAAAATAGCATGTAAAGGCTGCCATTTTTCAAAATGGCTGCCATGAATTTCTTAAATATCTACATTTCTAGCTTAATTAATGTCTCATATAACTTTTTATATTTGAAACATATTGCTATTACAGTTTTATATATTGTACCTAGATTACTGTAAAATCGGCACTAAAGTGGCTGCCATTTTTAAACATGTAGCCATTTTGAAAATAGTATTTTGACCAAAACTTCTAACCCCATAGAGGATATGTGTACAAATTCTGAACAAAATTGGGCCAAGAACAGTATTTGAGTTTTCGCTTGAATGGACAGACATATGTAAGTACAGACGGACAGAGGCGTTCCCTATATCCCACCAAACTTGTTCGATGGGATAATTATTTGTTTATAAACTACGACTGCATCTTTATTATTATCCAAACAGGTTGATGGATTGAGTGAACCCCTTCATCCCCAGTCAGTCATGACAATAATAGTGAGCCTATTTTCTAATATTTTATGGATATGTGTATAAAAATCAAAATGGTCCCTGCTTCAAAATGGCAGAAACAGTTCGTGAAAATCTTTTAACTTTCAAAAACAGGAAATGGTTATTGCTGAATGATATTTTCAAAGTATAAACATTAAAAAAAATATTTTTAAACACCTTATTCATTTCTTCTCCTCTCTATGTACAATTGAATTTTGCGAATGCAGTTGTCAAGGTGACCCTCCTACACACATTTCTTTTTGGACAAGTTAATTCCGAGAACCACTGCTATTGGGGCTTACATCCCTCTGATGAAGTGTGAAGTATTGCAGCATGCATTGCATTTTGAAAAATGTACTGCCTTGGTGGCAATAAGCAAACATGGAATCATCGGTCCCCATTGATTCGAAGTTGACTGGGGATGTGCTATCACAAGGACAAGTACCGTTATATTCAAGTTTTCACTAAGCTTTGGAGATCACTTGGTACCAAAAGGGGTATACAAAGTGATAGTCAATGGTTTCAACAGGACAGTTCCACCTCCACACTGCAAATGATATGCTGGAATGGCTCAGGCAATGCTTTGGTGGTCAGCTCATCAGTCGCAGAGGCAAAACATATGTGCAGCTCATTCAACAGATCTCAACCCCCCCTCCCATATTTTTATTAGTGGGGATATCTCAAAGACAATGTGTATGCTGACAGACAATTGCTGATCTCAAGAGACCAATAACTTCCCAAATTCGTGCCATCCATGTTGATGTGTGTAGGAGGCAGGCTGTCCAACTGTCCCATAAATTTCATATTTGTCACGCATTTGCTGGAAAATTTGAAGTCACGCCAGTTATTTTTGCGTGACAGAATATATCACGCAAATACGCATTTTACCTGATTATTGTCAAGCAAAAATATTTCTGTTGAAAAACTTTAAAAAAGTGATTGCAGATACAGCAAAAAAATGAACGCCAAAAAAAACGAACCCATATCATTCGAACTTTTCACGCAGATACCGTATATGTCACGCAATTTCATCGAAATATTTTGTACCTAAAATTTCAAGGAAGAGTATGCAAGATTGACCAAGTTATTCAACTTTTCTTCGGTCCTGCTTTTTGGACACCCTGTACAATAAAGCCTTCAATCAGAGTCCTTAAACATCCCTTTCACCTACTTCAAACTATTATAAAAACAATGTAACCCCATAGGCTAACTCAAGTTAATTGATTAGATTGAGTCTAGGTTATGTTCCCATACCAACTGTTTGGTCAAGCATCTTTTAAATTGATAAAATGGTTACAAAATGGTGCAAATCTATATGCTAGATTTACCCGGAGTCATGTATCAACGAAAAGCTATAAAAAAATTTAACTCATACTCTCATCCATAGTATATTGTTTGTTTACATAAATACAGAATACAATAGACAGGAGTTTCACTAGAATGTCTCACAACAGGTTAAATAAATGAAAACAGCAGTCAAAATTTATGGAAATCAGAAATTCAACATGAAAAAGTTGAAAAGTCCCTCAAAACCTGATAAAGCATTTCAGTAAAATGATGATCATCTTATTGACATTGTTTTTTACAGCAAGTTTGGAGTTGGATACCCTGTAGTGCACTACATGCTAACATTATGGCCTCAGATCAATTGTTTCAAGGATGAAATTGTTTGTTTATTACGGGCACTGACTTGATCAGTTTGTGACTAAAATACCCATTGTTGACAAGTTGCACGTTTTCATGTTTTTCTGAATGTTTACAAAGGAAGTTTTGATTGCTAATGCTTTTTCCTTTGTTTACATATGAATAATTGGTGTGTATAGTAAGGATATTGTATAATCAATTCCCTTAATGGTGTACTATGAAACACAATCTCAATCTCTGAGTCATTATTTTACATTCAATCTTCTTTGAAAATAATGTACATTAAAACATGTCAGAGGGAACACCTTACTGTAAGGAACACCTCTCTACATAGAGATATAATGAATGGTACAATGGTATTGTAATACAATATTAATGGTACAGTTATGACTATGAAGTGTTATAGAAACAGGGTTAAAAAGCTAAAGCTGCCTGACTGGTTATTTACACGGCAATGCACTGAATGCCAATACTAAGATTATTGCACTCATGTTTTCAAACCCTGCATGGAAGCTGACCCAAAGCTAACAGTTTCAAACTGACCATTCTGTAATATTTTCGTTAGTTGACACCTCTATTATGACTTTACATCAAAAGTCAGTGCTCAAGTCAACCACATATAAGAACTATTGAACCAATATCAATGAAATGTTTCCAGTGGGCTACTTTCATGGACTTCACCCTCGATAGACTGTTCTGCTGCTCCATCATTGTCTTCAATTAACATTCCAATCTTATTCATTACTCGTTCCAAACATGCCCCTTTGAGTTTTTTTGTAATCTTCGCATGGTCCTCCTTTTTGGGGTAAAAATATTCTGCTATAGCATGCTGAATTTTTCCAACAAACAGTTGTAGAATTGTCAAAATTGCAATAACACTGGTTATGGTTATTAAACCTACACGATCAGCAATTTTCTCATGGAATGGAGGCGAAGGATCAGATAAACAACTTTCAGTATTAATCTCCAATTTGTAATTGAATGAATCGTTGGTGAACAACATTGGCACCTGTTGATGTAACAACTTGCTGATGTGTGGATTTGTATCATTGAGGACCACATTCAATCCACTACCAACATCGATTGATATTGTTATGTTGGATTCTTGACGTATTGTCTCCAGTGCTTGGTAAAAGAGTGAATCCAGCTTGTCTAATAGCTGCATAACTCCCACCATGAGTACCAGAATGATGAGCAACCCCTTAAAAGTCATTAAACATTCCTGCACCAAAACACAGCGTCCTATCCTATGCAGTATCGTATTGTGATAATCGCTTTGTAGCAGGTAGTAACAGAAATAAAACCCTGCATGGAGGATAACTAGACCGAGCAATACATACAAGACACAATTGAGCATATTTGGGAGAATTTGTTGAATAGCATCCCTTAATTCCATTTGGTTCTCAAATATAGCACTCATTTTACCAATGATAGTAACAAGAGTATCAATTCCCATAATATTTGGCCTTTCAATGTTATCAAACACATTAACACCATTTGTGTAGCCCTGAACATCATTCAAGTCAAATGTCACATTGTGTAAAGTAATAGTTGTATTTATCTTTATGTCACTGATGTTAATTTTGACAAAATTCAACTGACTGAACACATTTTCAATTGCTTGTTTCGGAACATCAGCAACTGTCTCTAACATCTCAATAGGCAGAGAGATCATCCTTTTCATTGCCTCCTTCCTGTATTCATCTAGTATTGCAGTTTGATTGTCCATCTTGACTTCCTTGATTTTCTCAACTTGGCAAGATATACCATTTGGTATTTTCTTAGCATTTTCTAATATGTTCTTGATTGGACCATTGATAAGCAAGTTTATCATGGCTTTTACCAAGCACACTCTGCCGGGATAGACGATTATGCCTGGTATTGTCAAAAGAGCGATGCACAACATGAATTTCACTATGTCTCTAACCCTGCCCATGTTGGATATGGTCTGATTCCACACTTAATCGCGCAGTTTCAGTGTAAGCAACACAGTCACAGCTTGTAATGGCTAAATACACTAGAACCTGGAACGATATGAATAAAATGTTTCATAGGGTACAATGTCACCAAATTATCACTAAAATATTGCAGCCTGAGATTCAGCATTTGGTTTTGATTAATGAACCAGGATATTTAGTGTTTTCTGATAAGGCAATGTGTTGACTTTTGAAGAAACCACTCCAAAATGTAATAATGAATTTGAAAGGAGAGGGTTATTTAGGATGTAAGCCCTCGACTCAGTGTATTGTGGTCTGATTATTTATTTTATTCTCATTTAGAACTAATAAGGGGATGTCCACATTCAAAAAGGGGAAATCCTCTCTTTTTGCCACATAAACTTGAAAATTGAAGGAACGTGTGAAATAGGTCAGAACTTTTGTAATTAGAAAATAGGCATGACATTCAATGATGAGAGCAAAAAATATTTCAAAATTGTCACCTCTATCACTTCTTCATTTTAACTCAAAATATCCATTGATAAAGATTCTAATAATTTGCTTTGAGAACAATTCAATAATCTTACAAAATACAGCTGACTTACGTGGTAAATAAGATTTTTCTAGGTGTTTTCTACTCGCCCTTCATTTGTCAGTAGCCATTTTTTTCATTTACTTCCTGGATGGTCTTATATTCACCGAAGGTAGTCCATCTCAAAATATCTTTCAACTGACTGAACACATTTTCAATTGCTTGTTTCGGAACATCAGCAACTGTCTCTAACATCTCAATAGGCAGAGAGATCATCCTTTTCATTGCCTCCTTCCTGTATTCATCTAGTATTGCAGTTTGATTGTCCATCTTGACTTCCTTGATTTTCTCAACTTGGCAAGATATACCATTTGGTATTTTCTTAGCATTTTCTAATATGTTCTTGATTGGACCATTGATAAGCAAGTTTATCATGGCTTTTACCAAGCACACTCTGCCGGGATAGACGATTATGCCTGGTATTGTCAAAAGAGCGATGCACAACATGAATTTCACTATGTCTCTAACCCTGCCCATGTTGGATATGGTCTGATTCCACACTTAATCGCGCAGTTTCAGTGTAAGCAACACAGTCACAGCTTGTAATGGCTAAATACACTAGAACCTGGAACGATATGAATAAAATGTTTCATAGGGTACAATGTCACCAAATTATCACTAAAATATTGCAGCCTGAGATTCAGCATTTGGTTTTGATTAATGAACCAGGATATTTAGTGTTTTCTGATAAGGCAATGTGTTGACTTTTGAAGAAACCACTCCAAAATGTAATAATGAATTTGAAAGGAGAGGGTTATTTAGGATGTAAGCCCTCGACTCAGTGTATTGTGGTCTGATTATTTATTTTATTCTCATTTAGAACTAATAAGGGGATGTCCACATTCAAAAAGGGGAAATCCTCTCTTTTTGCCACATAAACTTGAAAATTGAAGGAACGTGTGAAATAGGTCAGAACTTTTGTAATTAGAAAATAGGCATGACATTCAATGATGAGAGCAAAAAATATTTCAAAATTGTCACCTCTATCACTTCTTCATTTTAACTCAAAATATCCATTGATAAAGATTCTAATAATTTGCTTTGAGAACAATTCAATAATCTTACAAAATACAGCTGACTTACGTGGTAAATAAGATTTTTCTAGGTGTTTTCTACTCGCCCTTCATTTGTCAGTAGCCATTTTTTTCATTTACTTCCTGGATGGTCTTATATTCACCGAAGGTAGTCCATCTCAAAATATCTTTTAATGTCTGTATAACTCTTAAGAGTTCAAATCAACGAGACTTATATAAAAAAAGACGCTTCTTATTGAAGCTCCTTATGCAAATAAATGAAGTGAATACAAAGTCAACAAGGTATTTCATAGTATAGTGACTTATTCTATGATTTAGATTTAACATTCAGATCTTCATATTAACTATTCCAGCGTTGTGCAATTGATGTTGATCCTTAGTAATTCAAGTATATTTTCATCTGTTATTTGAGCTTGACGATTCCTTGTTCAGCTATATAATATGACTGAATTGTACTGTTATTAATCGTTTTTTATGATTCTGAAGTGCCACCTAGATGACTCCTTGATTGATAAGGAATGAGATGGGGCTACGTGAAACATTAACGTGTACATGTACTTTAATGTTTGAGTGGTTGAGTTCAGAGGTTTCTTTTTATTTCACAGATATTGCACCTTTCAGTAGCTTTCACTACTGATAAGATAACATGGATTTGCATTGAAATCAAAAAGCGTATTAAAATGTCTTATATTTGATGTTTTTCAGGTGCAGTTCCAAAGGTGTGCAAGAACAGATAAAAGTGTCTCTGCGGCTGGTCAGGTGGTTTCACTAAAGATGGTGCTTAATATTGAAAATTGCATCGAAAAATTGAATGAAAATCTTCCCGATCAGATAAGAGTTATAGGTAAATGGTCAACCATATTATTTCATGCAGTATTTGCAATTGATGTATGAAAATAAAAATGTATACACTACAGGGTGTGTTGTAATAACTTCAATAAGTTCAGATTTGAGATTTCAGATTTTATATGATATATAACACATGGGGTGTAGGTGCTATCTAAGATAATATGGTTATTGGAGGGAGGCATTCGTAATGAAACACCCTGAATAAGATTATTACATTACAGATTGTATATCTTATATTAACTAAAGCTTCTTTCATAAATGTATGAGTTTGAACTTTGAACCTCTTACATATAGATATTGAATTAAAGTGTTAAATTAGATAAATAAAAATCAACTGTCCATTGCGTTTAATAGTGAATTCTGTTGTGACGTAACATGCTTTCTCATTTCCTTTGTTTGCACTTTTTTATTGCACTCCTTTGTTGCACTCTTTTGTAGGTATAATTAGAGCGACACAGGGGTTCAACAGTAAGAATAACTGTGATGCCAGGACGTATTCCTACATGTTGCCAACATTTGCCCTCAGTCCCATTGAAGAGGTACATTAGAATAATGTAACAATCGAATGGGGTCTCAATCCCTTTTATTTTATTATTTAGACCTATTATACCTATTGCTTTGGATTTATACTTTATTTTTATTTTAACCCTGTTGATCACGTTAAGTACTGTACATTTGTATTCCAGAATACGGATGAGAGTTATCGGGTTCCTCTGAGCCGAGTGGATGATTTTAATGAACTTTTGAAAATGTACCTTGGAACGAAAAACTTCCACAATTTTACCTCTGGAAAGTAAGTCTATTTTGTAGTTAGTGTAGAAATTGTTTGTAAATTGATACAGTGAGGCTGACGGATATTCTATTAAACCAGTGTATTCTTATGACTCGTACATTGGTATTTTGGGTTTAAGATTTGTGCTAAACAATATGTGGTGTGTCATAAGAGACTTTTAAATATCATGTGGTGTGTCATTCAGGATCAGGACTATCAAACAATATTTGGTGTGTTTTTAGGACCACCAGGTCCTGATCATTTCTTAGTTAACCCATCCAAGTGACCATGAGAGCATAAATTGCAGTTATTGTAGAAAAAATGATTTCTTGACACCGTTCACTAGAGAACTACAGGATGTTCAAAAAGTTGCAGGACTGGTTTGCCTCTTTGTTGATTTCGCACAAATTGTGCTCTAAGCACAAAGTACTTGAAATTACATGAAATTCCTTGGGAGTTCTTTCATTCCGTGACATTTGACTTCTTTCATATATGGGTGCTTATTAGAATGGCATAAAAAGGGGTATTTTGAATTTTTTAAAACCCCCAGTCGCTAATTCGGTAAAAATAAGATTGGTAAAATAATTAGTGAGATGTGATAGTCACTAGTCAGTGTCCAATAATCTGCCCCTTTCACACACTATCAACAAGAATGTATATTTAGTAGGATATGATAGATAATACATTTTGTACACAACGTAGAATATTTTTCACTTCAGAAAACCAGATGAGGCCAGTGCAAAAAGATTCATCATGAGTATGTCAGTAAGTACACTTCTTTCCTCAAAATTATTGTCCCTATTTTAATGCTAATCCTTAGACAGACAGGCAGTGACTCATCTCACTTGTCACGGCTACTATTTTGTTTATTGTTTATAAATTGTAAGTCGTTGTCCTCACCATATATATTGTTATGGTTACAGTGTCTCTGTTTTGATATAGAACTTGTATCATTCTAGATAAAAAGATTCACATTAAAAAAAACTAAAAATTGAAAGCTGTTTTTTTATTACAGTGTGGCCAGCCATTTGTACGTGGGGGTATAGAGTTTGTTGTAATTGAAGTAAAGGGACAGAGCTTCATGTTACATCAGATCAGGAAAATGATAGGTAAGGAAAATGGTAGAGAAAGAAATGATAGGTAAGGAGAGCATTGAATAAGGAAATTATAGGTAAGGAAATCATTGAATAAGGAAATTATAGGTAAGGAAAGCATTGAATAAGGAAATGATAGGTAAGGAAAGCATTCAATAAGGAAATTATAGGTAAGGAAATCATTGAATAAGGAAATGATAGGTAAGGAAAGCATTGAATAAGGAAATGATAGGTAAAGAAAGCATTGAATAAGGAAATTATAAGTAAGGAAAATTAGGTAAGGTGAAAAAAAGAAATGTTGTCACTCCAGGTAGTCAAGAGGTTAAATAAATATGTTTTGTGTTAATTTCATTTTTACAGGAATGGCAATTGCAATAATGAGAGGTCTGGCCTGTAAGGAAGCAATAGAATGGGCACAGGCTCCTTTCAAGGTTGGAAAATCTATTATTATTTTGATGAATAAAATGTACCTTATAAAGATAAAAATAAAAGTGATTTTAATGTGATTTATCACTAAAAATACATCTGGTGGCCATTTTGGATTTTATTGTCTTATTTAAATATTTATTGAAAGTAATCTATAATATTGTACAATACTTGTATGATAAGTGTTAAAAACATAATGTCTAATGAGTGAACAATTATGAAGAAACTTTATATACTGTATATATTCCATTTTCAGTATGATGTTCCAAAAGCACCAGGTTTGGGACTAAAACTAGAACAAGTACACTATGATATATACAATAAACGCTATGGCAATGATGGATTGCACGATGCCATTGATTGGACTAAATACAAGGTACAGTTTACATTAAGAATGACTCCTGAAAGTTCACACAGCTCATGTCCAATAAGACAAGTCATAAACATGAAAAATGTCACCACCTACCATTTGTAAAATGAAGAACGTGATCAAATTTTTGTTTTTGTCTATTTCAGGATATCATTGACAAGTTCAAGGATGATTACATCTATACAACAGTTGTTGAAACGGAGAAGGAGGAAAAATCGTATCCTTAAAATAAATACATACATGTATATGCATAAGTGCATTTAATGATCAATTTGCAAGAACCGAGATGATAAAGTAGTCTACGATATCAAACAGGGTACATTTGAATAAAAGTCTTTTGTCAAATCTTTCTTCCTAGGACTCCTCAGGGTTCCATTGACTCAGATTACTATGGTAACCATGAAATGCACTTCATTAACAAAAAGTGAAACTTGATTTTTACATGCATGAATATTTGATCATATTCTTTGAAAAAATACCCTTACCTGATTTATCTTCAAAATTGTTAGAGCTCTTTTAACTTTTATCATCCTGTATTCTCCTTTACCTTGCACCAGTATGTTCAACTGGCTGTCTACTTTACCGTACCATCATTTTGGCGACAGAATCTCTGAGCATATTCCAGCCAGTATGGAGACAGGAACCGGAAGAGCAGCGGCCCTCATTAAGAGAGTGCGTGCTAAGGAGGAAGAAGAGGTACATAATTAAGATTATTTGGGCTAAAATTGTCTCAATAGACTACATGTACAAGTTTCTCAAATCATTTGGGACTGAGAGGAACAGAATTATCAGTGATGATTTTGTGAAACTTGATTTTTTTACAGAATTATCAGTGATGATTTTGTTTCCATTGACTGATCTTATCCGTAGGAATTCTGATTTAAAATAATATTTCAGTGTATAATTGATATTGGACATACACAAAGATGTAGAATTGCAACAAAGTTTGTCAAGAATAAATCAGTGGTTTAGTTTAATGAGTATACACTTCTTTGATACCAAGATAAGAGTGACAACTAGTTACAGAATTGTTTTCCGTGATGGCTCTAACTCTGGTAATGTTTATCCAATTTACACAAATTAGATCCTTATATGCGTGTAACATGGTCTAAAACCTACACTAGCACCATATAGCCTGTAAATTGATATAGCAAAATCATAAAAATGACCTAAAATGGGAAATGCATGTTGCTTTGAAATAATGCAAATATGGTACAAAATTTTCTCTTTGTTGTTTTGCAGGCAAATGAAGCTGAATTGAATCAGAGTACAAACACAGAAAATCCCAGTGCAGTTGAGAATTCTGTAAATGAAACAGACAAAACAAATGAATTGGATGTAACTAAAATACTTGATGACTCTTCAAAACAGGAACCTACGGAGGTGACACCTATTGAGGGAACACCAGAGCTCGGACAATCAGGACTTACCAATGTTGACAAGACTAATGATACATGAAATTGAATATTAACTTGTTATGACAAATATACACAATATAAATGAACAGGTTATGACTTTCTTAATTAATATGTCTGGAACTTCACTGGGAAATTAATTATGACAAGATATGTATCTTGTGACACAACTTCAAAATAATTTGAATGGTATCACTTGAGGATGCATTTATGAATAGGCATTAAAAATTGGCATTTCCATAGGTATTGCTATACACCTAAGCCTTTTTAAGTCTCAATTTCTTAAAATCATTCTTCATATACAGCTATGATTATGAATAACCATACCGTGCTATATTATTGGACTCCGTTTTTGCAAATATTCTTATTAGACTCTGAATGTCAATCTGGTATACTCATAGCCATGATTATGCTAATAGTATTAACCTTTTGCCGCCAGTAAACATTTTGCCCAACTTTTGAAATATGGTGACTGGAAAGAAGGTCAAAATAAAAAGTTCTCCAAATTTAATGTGTGAGTTATGAAATAAGTGTAGAATTCCTTGTGGAGAAAAGTTAAAATCCAATGAAGTTACGTTTTGATGGCAAAGTAACTGTTTTGAATATGCATCGTACATAAAAAAGCATGCATTCTTGGTGGAGACAAGTCAAAGTCCAATTAAGTAACGTGTTAAATGCAAAGTAACGTGATTTGAAAATGCAAACATATAAAAGAAGATTTAATTACTCTTCACGAAAAATGACTTAGTCCAAGTAGCGCTTTTTCGAAAGGATTATCTGACCATTTTTTGACAAGGCTTCCTCACATAAATTGTCTTCGAATTGTTACTTGTAAAAGAGACGAAAAAAGCATTACTTTTGAAATGTCAATATTTTCTGTCTCTAAATCATGACATATATGATATAGATCTGTATCAAATTCCAAGTAAGAATGATAAAATCTTTTCTCGTGAGAAGCTTTCGTGCAAAACTTTTCGAACGACCCTAATATTAAGTTGGAATTCTACAGTTTTTGCGATCGCATGTGGTTAACTACCACTTAAGTTGCGATCCAGTCCAGGACGGGGTCAAAGTCGAGGTTCAGTCCAGTCCGTTGTATGTCTAAAACTAAAGAAAATCTGTCATCCGGAGTCTGAAATTGAACTTGTTCAATTTCCAATGTCTACTTTCACCATGTTTCAACAAGAGTTTTTGCCATTAATTTTCCTTAAATTATTTCTTTCAAAAGAAACGAAAAACAGCACTTTTCATGACATATATACTTTTTACTAATTATAAAAGTTGAATATGTTGTCATATCGTCGCCGTTGTCATGGTGTTGTGGTGTGCAAATGTTAGCGCGGTTTTTGATCGATCACGATAATATATATAAAATATCATAAAAATAAATATTAATGTCAGCGCGTGTTTTTATCGATCATGATAATAGATATAAACTATCATGAAAATAAATACTACCGTGTTGACATTATCTGACATTTCACGCGTATAATTGTTTTCAGGTTTTCAAATTGAATTTAAAGCATCGCAATAAAATTTGATCTGCTATTGACATCAGAAACAAGTTAGGGAAGACTGCACGTTCACTGGAGCAAAATGAATCTGATTTATCTTGGTAAGTTTCATATGTTAATATTATCAACTTAACTTAATCGCTTTAAATTGATTAATTGTTTTCTTAATATCCAGCACAAAGCGGGAGAGTTTTGTTTTTGGACATGGTATTAATGTACTCAACCATTTCTTAATACGACGTCTTCATTTTAATTAAATAGAGGTTCAAATGTGAAAATGTGACTTTTAACTTTAAATTGCAACTTCATATTTTCAGGGATGATTACAATTGTGGTATCAACAGCAATGAAGGTTTCAGCCGAGGACGACGCCATAGCTAATGGCGAAGCAAATGGAGACGGCGGTATACCTGAAGATAATAAGGATGATATGCCGGAGGAACTCAAGATATTACTCGTAAAGAACAGTACCCTGGGAGAAAGTCTCATCAAAATAATCGAAATGGTGAATGACTTCTCATCAGACATCTGGAAACAGTCCATTTCACCACGCTATTCCAGTTCAATAAAACACCAATTGACTAAAGCAAGAAATATCACAAAGATGGCTCGCAAATCAAGCAGAATATTAAAAAAATCGTTACGATGGATTGATTTGGCTTTAGATGGTGTCGACAAAGTCATGGATGTCATAATGGCTATTCAAAGCGAGGCTGTCAAAATTGAAAATTTACTAGTTGATCTCCAAGAATACGACTCTGTATTACAAAACTATGATGCCTATGGACGGTTGTCTTCACGAATAATGTATGTAGATATACTATATTATTTTTTTGACTACGGCAATCGACGTTCCTTTTCCTTTGAAGATTTTAGAACTATACTTGGACAAATCGATGGTTACACAAACAGTTGGCTAGACCTGAACTGGCCAAGGGAAGAGAGAGAAGAAATTTTTCGTCCTTTGATGAATAAAATAGGGCTCCTTCAGGAATTAGGGAACAACCTTGATTTTAGGTTTAAGTCAAAAGTGAATGCATTAGCTAAAAGGTTGAAACAAAAAATAGATAATCTGGAAAAAGTTTCAAGGAAGGTGAGTTCAATGTTCATGACTGATTATAGATAAAACAACAATTCAATTAAACGTTTAATGCAGACTAGTAATTCAGTCTATGGGCACACAGACACAGACAACCTCTTAAAAAGAAAATAGGATTCAAGCAGAGATTATGAAGATATCGATTCTGAGTGACCAAGTTTTGTTGAAAACAATGGATCGCGTGAGTTTTCCCTATGGGAAAATAACATGGGAAATATTGTTTTCCACTTTATCCAAATTGAATCCTATTTTCCTTTTAAGAGGTTAACTATGTCTACAAATGCAACATATTGATGCATAAAACATTGAAAAACAGGAGTGGAAGGGGGCTGAAAATCAGGAAAACCTTTTTGATAAAAGGAGTCGATGGGGTGTTTGGACCTTCCCTGTCTCGAAGTCCAAATTATTTTATCATCTCTATGAGTACTTTTCCTTTAGATTATGCATTGGCCTAACATGTGCACCTTTTCAAATATCGAGAAAATAGCCTTTATCCAACAACTAAAATCTGTTGCGATACCTTCCGTGGTCCTTTCTGAAGTTATAACCGACGGACTATAAGTTTAAATAAACAGTTTAAAGATTCGAACCAATATCTCGACCATTTCTTGTCATTTCGTTGCTTGAGTTTTGGAATTTTTCGTTGGGAAATAAGACCAGAATTCACGGTTCAAATGTTAGAGTGAACAAAATTGTGGCTGTTTGAATTCGAATTCTGGACCACTACATGCCCATTATATGGCAAATCGAGGTGATTGGTGGTAGAGTAGCAAAATTAAGAAAGGCGAAACTTGATGTCAAGTAAAATACAGTGAATCGCGAAATTATTAGCGAGTCGCGTTCCCTTCACGATTTTAATGAATACACTTTTGCAATTTGCATATTCCTGAATGTTTGTTCAAAATCTGGTAACATGATTATGACGATGCTCCTGTCAAAATTCTCAACATTTTTATCCTCCCTCCTCCCAGTTTTTCATTTTTCGATTTATTCTATTGGAATAAGACCAAGTCAAGCATTTATATAGCTATTGTTTTGTTGAATCACAAGCATCTTAAAATATGAATGATTAAAGACAAAAATCAAGTTCATTTGGAAATTGTTGATTATTTAATTGCGGGTTCCATTGATTTCAATGGGTTTTCGCAATACCTGCTATATTTGAAAGTGCATAAAATTGGTTATAGAAAACCCGTGATTTTTGCTTCATTTGATATATACGAAATATAGCATTTTTGCACCAAAACATTTTTCTTTCTTTTGAAAGAAAATTAACAATTTATCACAAAATGTATACCCCGGGTCAGTTGACCCCGATTTGACCTTTGTTGACCTACTTTTTTAAAATCAAATACCTTTCTGAACGGGTAATGGAATTAGTTTACAACAATGCAAACAATATTGAAATCAGTAAAGTAATAAAACATTTACATTTTACTCGAATCTTCTGTGCTACTCATGGGTCTTCTATTCGACCACGTTAGGGGAGGCATCAAACGTTCAATGTCTGATAGGAAACTAAATAAATCTAGTTTTGAGTTGGACCCCCCATCCCCCTCAAAACTAAATACAATGAAAGTTGATCGCGGACTTTTCACATGTTTTAGCGATTCAATTTGGACTTTCATGGGGCCAGTACTATAACTTATTTATGATTCTTAAAACATGTGCCAACAACAATAGGCATACTATTCCTTGTTGCATGCATCTTGGTGAAGAAGGCATCTGGTAAAGTCTTTATTTTTAAACCATTCCAAGGCATTTCGAGTCGAAATTGCGAAAAATTTAAATGTTGAAATTTGTCGGATAGCAAACTGAAATAGCTTTGACCCCCTCCCCCCCAAACTAGATTTATTTAGTTTTCTATTAGACATTGATCTTTTGATGCTTCCCCTTACACTTGTATTCGCGAATGCAACTTTAAACTGTCGGCTACGGATTAACAAATTTAAATGACCTGGTCATCAAATAATAGTATAATCTAGATATTTGGACTCAATTAACAGGTGCAAATACCTTGTTCATGAGATTCCCGGTTAAGGAGAAATTCGCACTTTTGTGTTTCGGAAATGATGTGTGGTGGAATCAATCGAATTTCACAAAGGATGTGTGGGCGATTCTTACAATTTTATTCCTTTTTATTGTATCTTGTATTCACATGCACTCTCCACTTAGCGAGTCGTGCACCACTCAGTCAAACACCCAGAATTACATAACGCACAAACAAACGTGGCTGAACCGGGAATCGAACGCGGGGACAAGCGTTAGCGGTAACCTCGACTCTGTTTTATGTCTACATGTATTGACAATTAATGTTTGGAAAATGGCAGATACCGCTTGCAGATTACAATTTTGAACCTAAAATGAATTACAAAATTCAATTATTCAAATCCCACATGCCTTTGACAGACCCAAATATCAATGCTAGCTATGAATGTAGCATTATTTGTAAATTTGGCCCAAAAAAGCCAAATTATCCCAAAAAGGACCTTGCTTTTTTCTGGGCCCACAAAAGGGGTAGGGGCGGGCCTCACCCCCTGGATCCACCAGTGGTTATGATATGTTATGATGCCAATGTGCTTAAAAGTGAATTCCTTTTATATGCAACCTAATGTGGGAGATGTGCCATATCTTGAAATGTATTTCTATTTATGTAATTTACAGTCTTGATAACTTATAGATAATCGGTTGATCTTCATATGTACTAATTATCATACAAATTGGGTGAGAATAAGTATGCCTATAAAATTTTATCTATTACTCTTAAACAATCATGTCACCCGTCGTATTTTTGTACACTTTGGACTAGTGATGTTAATGAGAGGACGTTTGTTACACATGAACACTCACCCTAAACTGTAAATTAAATCTTTTTTTAGAAGCTGCAAAGGGCAAGGGCATAAAAGGACTTGTAGTGAAACGACATACATGAGTAGCCGACTAGAATCAACCCTTCCTTCAAACAAAGATTACGATATTTATCATAATTATATCTGTTATTTATCAGATCATCAAAATGAGATTTACAAATTTTCCATTTATTTGTAAATCTTCTCCAGGTAAACATTATAACAATGGTGTATATTTCTGTTTACACGAAGAAGATTTAGAAATACATCGAAAATTTGTAAATCTCAATCATTTTTGATGTTTTTAACGCTAAAGTATTAACATTATGCGGATCATACTTGAAAAAGATTTATAGAATAAATCGAAATATTTCAAATCTATGGCATTTTGTTATGAATTTCATAGTAAAGAAAATATAATTTGGCTGTACTCCTGAACAACACCTACTCACTTCAACACATTGCACTCATACATGTCATAGTCAATACCAAAAGAAATCAAATGTTCCTAAAATTGGGTCATGGGCCATTTACCTTTCATGAGAGTCGACACCCATATGGAAAAGCCACTATTAGATAGGCCAAGCTGCCCTAATTCACGTCACCATACTAGTCAATGGGCAAAAGGGCAAACGCCTGACTTTTTGTCTCGAGTTATGGATTTATGTGGCCTCACTGGCCTATCTGAGGTTCTAAACCTATGTCTAAGCTACATTTTGACACTAAACTCAATAGGGGCCAAACATCTATTTTTTGAAATAATTGGTCAATTGTGACACTACCCCCTCTCTCTGCAGACAGAAATTGAAATTCACAAAAATGAAGGCAAAATTAATACGCCACTTGACTCGAAATTTTCCTTCAGATAACCCAAATAAACGCATTTTCAGAAGAAATGGCATGTTGTAATTGCAAAAAGATGACAACTGTGCCTACACACTAGCTTACTGACTCGTCATGATCACAATTGTGTTGGGACTACATTTATTTTTGAAAACTACTTTTTTCTGGCCATAGATGCCTTCACTGGGCTATTCTCTGTACTTGTCCGTGCCTCATTTTGAGTAGCGAGTGTAAATTCTTTTCGGAAACATGATTATGTTTTCCCTGTAATATGAATTGGAGATATCTGACAAAATATGGATAGCCTAAAATATAAATTTTGTGTTTTTGAACATGCGGAAATATCTGGAACACTTTGAAACTGAGATAAAAGGTCGTTCAGTTTTCTTGTTTTTTGTTCTACACAACACTTGTGTTTAATAGCCACGCGTAATTATTAATAAGCGTAATCAGATTACTTCAAGCGTCGAAATAGCTTATTTTCCTCGACATATCTACAAACCTATTCACTTACAGTTATAGTGAGCGATCTAGATGCGTCAATTATAATTGTTTTCACTCATCGGCTTTAGTGGCCCGCTATACCTTTTATTTCATTCATTTGAGACGCAATTGATATATTGGCAACACATCAAATGTTCTAAATGATTCTTCTTCATTTTGGAATGTCAGTTCTCCTACCCGATATTCAAAGATGTGTGTTAAATACTATACTTAACATTGATCACGATTCTTGTACTTTCTGTCTTTACGACTCCCGTTCACATTTGCAAGAGTTGTTGATTGCATTGCATTGATCGTCGGTCGAACTTCGATTTCAACTTAATCAGATTAATCAATTAAGAAATGTTATATCATGTTTATCCAAGCAAATAATTGTAACAACTACATTATTTTTTAGCAGCTTTGACACCTAAGCAGGGTAGCCTAGTGGCGTAGACTGAGGCTACTTTGCGGTTGAACGTAGTGGGATACGGAGGTCCCGCGTTCGAGCCCTAGGTACGGAGTTGTTGATCATTGTCACTACGGACGACCGGTCCGAAGGTCCAACCGTTTACTGGCCCTTGGCATGGGTTGGTTCTCTGGCCGCTCTTGCCGGAGACAGATTGTGAGACTGTGGTTGGTTCCTCCACTAACGTGCTTTAGTAAACTCCGGGAGTCATATAGTATGGTAGCGGGCCCCCACCAAGGGCAGTAGTGGAACGACGCGAATCGGTCCCAGTATGGTTGCCTTGCAACTGAAGAGACTCGAGGAAATCATGCCATTCGCAGTGACCCAGAAAAGACTTTTGCTTCTTGATCTAATTAATTGTTTACATCAATTAACTAAAATGAATTTATTCCATCATTTCGTTTACTCGGCGCTCATCGGACGAAGATGTCCGACGAAGTGTGCAAATTGCAACCAGGCTCCGAGTAACTCTGGCTCTTATCATTCTGATACTCGTAGCATCTTTTTGTTAGACAGCCGATTATTATGGCAACAATATATAGAGGACATATATAATAGGAATCTGATAGAAGTTTACACGGACCCAATGTTGGATGGCAATTCACAGGGCGATATATTCAGACGATAATGCTTTTATTGCACAAATGAATGGAGACATCTATATTTGATTTACGTTTTACTTTCCATAGAGACAGACCTGTAATTACACTTGCCACTTGCTTGCATCCAAAACCTTACTTCCAATGGATTTGGTCAAGCAAAATCGTTATTCCAAAGAATTGGTCAACCAAAAACCTATTCCAATGAATTGGTCATCCAAAAACTTATTACAATGAATTTGGTCAAGCAAAATCTTTATTCAAATGAATTGGTCATTCAAAAACCTTACTTCAATGAATTGGTCATTCAAAAACCTATTCCAATGAATTGGTCATTCAAAAACTTATTCCAATGAATTTGGTCAAGCAAAATCTTTATTCAAATGAATTTGGTCAAGCAAAATCTTTATTCAAATGAATTGGTCAACCACAAACCTTATTTCAATGAATTGGTCATCCAAAAACCTTATTCCAATGAATTGGTCATCCAAAAACTTATTCAAATGAATTGGTCATTCAAAACCTTACTTCAATGAATTGGTCATTCAAAAACCTATTCCAATGAATTGGTCATTCAAAAACTTATTCCAATGAATTTGGTCAAGCAAAATCTTTATTCAAATGAATTTGGTCAAGCAAAATCTTTATTCAAATGAATTGGTCAACCAAAAACCTTATTTCAATGAATTGGTCAACCAAAAACCTTATTTCAATGAATTGGTCATCAAAAACCTTATTCCAAAGAATTGGTCATCATAAACCTTATTCCAATGAATTGGGCATCCAAAGTCCTTATTATAATGAATTGGTCAACCAAAAACCTTATTCCAATGAATTGGGCATCCAAAGTCCTTATTATAATGAATTGGTCAACCAAAAACCTTATTCCAATGAATTGGGCATCCAAAGTCCTTATTATAATGAATTGATCAACCAAAAACCTTATTCCGATGAAATGTCATCAGGAACATTTCTGTTCATAAGGGTTTATATCTTTTGTCCCAGTAATAATTTATGTAAGAGAACATGTATCACTAGCTTAGTTTTTAGGTAGACAAAAGAGAGGTTATGTATGGACTATTTTTCACAATGTAATCCGAAAGATTTAAGCGTTTATATGAAGTCATCAAATGAACATTGATTCTTAAAATTTAAAGTAATTTTAGTTTTTATTAGTAAACCATACTTACCTAATATTGCCACTACAAATATGTCCCTCCCTCCTCCTCCGCTTACAGCAGAATTTTCATAAATGTTATAGCGGAATAATTGAGGAATATCCGGGCATGTGTGCGGGGGTGCACAGTGTAATATGCTCAAGAAATTCCCGGGAAGTTGGCCATAGATAGATTCAATGGTGGATGTTAGCACATAGTGGCAATATTAGTGTAAGTAGTAAAGGTTTGCGTAGTAAAATTTATATGCACGCTTAACCTCCCTATTATCACTCATGAATATAAAGTCAGGAATCATTCTCAAAATTCATTTCGTTCGTTGCGGACCTTACTTCAAGGTAAGGGGAAGAGACGCAATTGGACTGAACAAGTGCTAAGAGAATGGTCAGGAATGTGTTGATGTAAAATGGTGTTGATGGAGTTCATGTCATTGAAACATCATAATTTCTGAGAAGACACAAAGAATTTATATGCGAACAAGTCTGCAAGTCTCAAAGTACTTGACCTACCACTTGAGAAAAAAATAAAACACAACAATAGTTTTTTTACCAATGGGGAAACTTGTATTTCCTTATTTGGAAGTATACAAGATCTTAAGATCTGCGAGATAGATATACATGCTACATACACTACGAGGGGGAGGCAACTCAATCATCCTGACTGGTTATATACAGTAACAGGGGGATCTATGGGAATGAGGTAGAAGACCCCTTAAAACCCAATGAACCCCCAGAAAGACACTGGCCTTAAACGTGTTGAGTAAAACTTTATGACCCTATGTATGAATATTTACATTTCAAGGTAAATGTGTAAAGGTTGAATAGGAAAACATCTACAAAGATCCAGTATTTGAATACTTCATTGAATCTAGAAATGAGATCATTTCATGATGTACATGTTTGTATCCAGTTGAAGTTACACAATAACTGCAGATAAATGAAAACTGGAATTATTCAACACTTTTAAGACCTTATCTTTATTTGTTATTGATTATTTGTTGTCATTCATCAAATAAATGAAAATCTGCAGCTGCACTGCATTCATGGGGTGCCCTGTTGGATTTTACTTTGTTTTTTCTTAAGAATCGACATCTTTTATTTCAGACTCTTCTCAGACTAATTTTGTGCAGTTGTTCAGACTAAGGATCTTAAAGTTGCCTGCCCCAATAAACTAATAACTAATGTGGATGTACTTTAAACATTCATAAGATACAGGATTGTTTTACCACCAAAAATACACTAGGATAATTATAATAGTTGTACCTTATGAATACTTAAATTGAGATGATTTTTTACAAGAGCTTGTCCATGAAATGATAATCTAACGACGTAGCATCTCACCTTTTTACACATACATTTTTCAAACCTCATAATTTGCGATATTCTGCCATATTTGATCCCAAAATGTTGATACCCACAGAATAACGTAATAGTGGCCACAAGAACTGCATCAGCGTGAAATGTTAAAGAAAATTAAGTATCTTTCGGGAATTTACACATATTTTGAAAACTGAATTTTGAAGATTTTGACCACTATTGTTATCCCGAGGCCCAACAACTGTTTACTGTACACGATTGTATAGAAATTTTTTTTAATGCTTTTAAGCAAAACATTAATGCACAATGAACAATTATGAGGGCAATAATTATCATTTTTGCATCCAAAATTAATTACAAAATGCCCATATTTGGGCAAAGAAGTTTTGAACCTAACACTATGATCATTCATAATCTGAACAATTTTCATCTCCACAATTACAACTAGACATAAAACATTTGTAGAAAATAGATTTCATGAATGAATGAGTAAAAAAATCAGGTTTCTAGCTTTTACCTAATATGGGCATATTGCGATAATTCAATACCATAAATGGATTGGGATGACAAATTGTATTGAAATAATTCAGAAATCTCTGTATGGTAGGCAATGCCAGGTAAAAATATCTTCTCTCAAACTCTTAATTTTTTATGGTGGTTTGCATTCCGAGGTAAAGGGAGAATATCAAATATTTACTATGAAATAAATATGATTACCAACCAATACTTAAGTAATAATTACCACTTCTAGTAATATTGATCAAGAAAGAACCATGAAATATTCAGTAATTACCATGAAATTCCAATTAATTATCATGAAATCTTTAAAATTACATAACACTTTCATAAATCATCAAGGAATTTCAAAGAATTGCAATGAAATATTAAGTAATTACCATTGAATTTCAAAGAATTGCAATGAAATATTAAGTAATTACTATTGAATTTCAAAGAATTGCAATGAAATATTAAGTAATTACTATTGAATTTCAAAGAATTGCAGTGATATATTAAGTAATTACCATTGAATTTCAAAAAAGTTACCATGAAATTCACATTAAACATATCCAGATAACGAATGCAAAAAATTAATGTTTCAATAGACAATTCTATAACCAATCACCCGTTGTTTAGAAAAATACACATACAAAATCCAGCCGATCAAACCTCCCGCAAAACCAAATGCTGCGTAAGACCATACACAAACAAATAATGCAGTTTCTGTTGTCCGCAGATGGTTTGATCAGCTAGACATTTGTTTTTATTTAACTACTATCTTTGTTTATTATAGCCTACTATCTTTGGTGTTTCTACCTTAAACTAATATCAAAATGTTTTGCTGAATGAAATCATACTAGTTAATAGTGAAAATGCTAATGATTATTATCAAGGTACATTTACAGAGAACTATGTACGTTAGGTGTATGAAAAGTAACTCATCATTTAATAACATGGAAAACTAAACGCTTTTTTTGTGTGAAGTTTTTACATAGCACAATTTCTTTCACTGATATGAAAATGGGAAATAATTACAGCATTACAACTGCATGACTGTGGAGACATTGGAAGGTTATCTCCATCATTTTTAAAACTGTGAAAACACAATGCACAAAATACACAAACGTTCGCCAACATGTTCACGATTGGATGAAAAACGTTTATTTTCTGAATTTTTTAAAAATCACCTCCAAAATGAATCCCACACAGACATGCATGTTTAAGAAATGAACATTGAGTGAACAGAATTAGAAGTGAAAAAATTAACAGAGAAACATGTATAACGTCACGTGTCTGGCAAATTGAATATTACTTTGTGTATAATGTCCATATCAAAATCTACATTATATAACTTACATCATGTTGTGTTCACAAAACGTTGCAAATACAATATCATCTCCCTTACAAAAATCTCATGGTTGTCTCATATTCCCTTACAAGACTGAAGCAACTGAAATGGATGCATCACTATACGGAAGAGTGAAAAGGTTTGGCATTCTATAAAATAAGTGTGCAGAAGCAATCATATCTTCTAGTATTGGAGAAAATGAGGGAATTCCAAAACCTCCATGAGATTTTTCAAAAGGGCTGTTGGGTATACCTCTTCTAATCTACATGTACTGAGCACAAGTTCTACATGGCTTCAATCCTTTCTTGCGCCCCGTTTTCTCGATTTATGTCTGTTGCTTTCACTGTTTACTGTCTTAGCTTTTAAACTGTTTGTTTATATATCTGTTTCCTGATCCTGTTTGCAATGCACTGGCTTTGTACATGGCTGTTCCTTTCACTGGAACCACCCCCACTAGATAATATAATAACCAGTTAATCTGAGAAATCCAAGATGGCTGAATCCAAGATGGCCACCACTCAGAATGAGGCTAGTGAACTTCAGAACTTTGTTCTGCCTTAGGCATTGGCAAGTGGTTATTGGGGGTAGACTCCGGAAGCGTGCTGTGGGGGGCTGTAGAATGAACGGAGAGTGGCGGGTGGGCATCCGTCGTGGAGTGTACACCGGGAATCGGGTTGTAGTTATATCCAGGGGGTGCCCCATTCATACTGTCATATCCTGGAAATAAAGATAAAGAACATCAATATTTAAAACAAAAATACACTATAACATGTATAATGATCGTGAAAATTGCTCTCTTTGAAGATTAACAAATTCGTTGGCGGGAATATAACACTACAAAATATTATCAAATATAGAATACATTGACCTTAGTTATGAAAACATTGATTTAAGTATTGATTTTAACTTATGGTGTCTGGAACAAAAATATATTTGAACATTGATTTAAGTATTGATTTTAACTTATGGTGTCTGGAACAGGAATATATTTGAACAAAATAATTAATCTTCCTCGCTATCAAAACATCTGTTCATCAGGAATAGTGTTATTTTCCCTCAAATTGCTTTATTTTATCAATCGTAATCATCAATTTAACGAAACAGTCAGTATGATATTGATTTTAATTTGTAAAGTTATAAACAAAAATCATCACTGTAATTCAAATACTCGTTGAATCATCAATTTTAATAAATTACTATCAAAAATATTTATTGATTTTCAGAAATATAATATGTGTACTCTTAAAACTATATGAGTAAATAAATTAATAAAATCAAAAAAATATTCACGTACTGTTGTTACCTTTCACCGCGGTACCCGTCAGATATTCTTTATTGACACAGTTGCGTAAGCTCTCTGGCATACGGCCAACAATTGCACGTCGTACTTCCCCTGCGGCCATTTCCCGGAGTTCCGTTATACTCTGGTCACTATAGAAACTACTGTGAGGTGTACAGATGAGGTTAGGACAATCTTTTAATGGGCCTGCAATGTAATTTTTTTATTTATTTAAAATATTCACAACTACGAGGGGTGATCAATAAGTAATGGACGCTTTTTTACACAGATACTTTTTATGGACCAATCCCTTTGATTTTCCTACCAGTGATAGATTATTCAATTATCTATCAATTCTGAAGATTTGAAGACAAAATATATAATACATGTTGATATATCCTTATTTCCATGAAGGAGGTACAGGTACCTCGGGACCGACATTTACGTCACATATTCAGTTTTTAGCCAGTCTGGCAAATTTCAGTTAGATTTAAATTTTTATTTTTATGTGCAACAAGTGTTGTGTTGTTTGAAATATTTTGCTGACTGGTAACACACAAACAGTAAGTATTGTGATGTTAGAGTGTTGTATGGTTGGGGTTTGCAGGTCAATTTGAGGAAGCATTGTGGAAGAAGGGGTTGGTGAGAGAAGGACACACCCCACTCCATATGGACAATGTACCTGCCCACAGATCTCAAAATGCTCAGAAAACAATATCCCTGGACCTCAAAATTGAGATCTTGGCCAATGCACCATATTGTCCAGATCTGCCCACATGTGACTTATTTATTCCTATACTACTTATTTCTATAGAGAAGGGACGCAGGTTTATTGACATTGATTAAATAAAACAACCCGTGCAACTGCATCTTGCTACCATGTCGGAGAATGGATTCAGCCTTGTCTCACAATCTTGAGTTAAGAGGATGAGGAATTGTGCACATGTAGCACTTGAAGGAACCTATGTAGAGGGCCCTGTAGAATGAATGTGGCATGAATACCACATGGTGATGATAAAATATTCAAAATCATCCATGGCATAACAAAATGGGGTATTTCATGACCATAATGGTTTGTTTTGTTCAGCCTGCATTCAACTGTGTTGCATGTTAAACAAACTAAATTAGCTTCAGAATGTTTGATGTAATGTCGGTCCCGGGGTACCTATACCTCCTTCACGGAAATAAAGATATATTAAAATATATTACATGTTTTGCATTCAAATCTTCAGAGTTGATAGATAATTGAATGATGTATCACTGGTAAGAAAATCAAAGGTATTGTTCCATAAAAAGCATCTGTATAAAAAAGCGCCCATTACTTATTGATCACCCCTCGTATAATAGTAGACTCTCAATGGAAGGGTATAGTACATGAATATCTGTAGCACACATGGGTTATAAACGCTAAAGCTAAAATCATATTAAAAGCATGAAAAAATACAATGATGACAAAAATGATGACAAAATACTGAAATGGTACAATTGAGTGAAAATGAGGGTTATAAATAAGAATAGGCTAAAAACAAGAAATACAAGTATGTGGGTATGAAGGTCTTGTTCAGGGCCGTCAGATGGGGGGGGTGCGATGGGTGCGACTGCACCCCCCTTTGTCACCCCCCAAAAAAAATTTGAAAAATATTTTCTTTGAAAAATATTTTTTTTGTATTTTTTTTTTCATTGACTCATACACTTTGAAAGTACCCAGAAAGCACCAAATAGCATCTTAAAATTATAAAATTTTCTAGGGGTATTAACCACCCGTCACACCCCCCACAAAACAATGGAAAAGTTCTAAATTTATTTTAGAGTTTTGTCTCAGACACTTTTAAAGTGCCCAGATATCATCAAATAGCTCCTTGAAATAGTTAGTGTTTCTGGGGGACTTACTCCCCCTCTTGCATCTTGCACTTGCATAACCCCCCCCCTCTGGCACCCCCCCCCTCCTTGACCCCCCCCACAAAAAATTGTGATTTTCTCAAATTCTTTAATTGACTCATACACTTTGAAAGTGCCCAGAAAGCACCAAATAGCGTCGTAAAATTGTAAAATTTTCTAGGGGTATTAACCACCTGTCACACACCCCACAAAACAATGGAAAAGTTCTAAATTTATTTTAGAGTTTTGTCTCAGACACTTTTAAAGTGCCCAGATATCATCAAATAGCTCCTTGAAATAGTTAGTGTTTCTGGGGGACTTACTCCCCCTCTTGCATCTTGCACTTGCATAACCCCCCCCTCCTTGACCCCCCCAAAAAAAATTGTGATTTTCTCAAATTCTTTAATTGACTCATACACTTTGAAAGTGCCCAGAAAGCACCAAATAGCGTCGTAAAATTGTAAAATTTTCTAGGGGGAGTGGGCCACCCCTCACACCCCAAACAAAACAATGGAAAAGTTCTGAATTTGTCTTATGTATTGTCTCAGACACTTTTAAATTGCCCAGACATCATCAAATAGCTCCTTGATAAAGTTAATGATTCTGGAAGACTAACACTTACTCGCCCTCTGGCATCCCCACTCCACCTCCCCCTCTGGCAGCCCCCCTCCCTTAACACCCCCCCCCAAAAAAAATTGAGATTTTTTTATTGACTCATACTCTCTGAAAGTGCCCAGAAAGCACCAAATAGCATCTTAAAATTGTAAAAATTTTCTTGGGAAATAGGCACTTTTAGGCACAGACACTTTTAAAGTGCCCAAACTTCATCGAATACCACCTTGATATTGTAAATTTTGATATGGGGGACAAACACTCGCTCCCCCTCTGGCACCCGAGCGCCACCTCCCCCTCTGGCACCCCTCCCCCCCCCTTTGACACCCCCCAAATTTGAAAAAAAGTTGTGATTGTTTTTCAATGTTTTTATTGACTAATACACTTTAAAAGTGCCCAGAAGCACCAAATATCATCTTTAAATTGTAAAATTTTCTAGGAGAGTTAGCTACCCCTCACATCCCCCACAAAACAAAAGAAAATATTCTGAATTTCATGTATTGTCTCAGACATTTTTTAAGTGCCCAGACATCATCAAATAGCACCCTGATATGGTCAATGTTTCTGGGGGACAACCCATTGCTCCCCTACTGGCACCCCACCCCACTTCACCCTCTCATCCTCTTTGACACCCCCAAAAGAATTTGAAAAATTTCACATTTTTCTTATTGATTTACGCACAGGCACAGGCACAGGTACCAGATGGTTGCAAATTCGCTCCAAATACAACCAAATTTCAAAATTTTCCTGGGGGAGAACCCCCAGACCTCCCTGAATGCTTGGTTTTTTATTCACTCAACTCTTATTCTTGTGGTGGTGGCGTACTACTTAGAAACTTACACTTTGTAAGTGCCCAGAAAGCACCAAATAGCATCTCAAAACTGTAAAATTTTCTAGGGGGAGTGGACCACTCCTCACACCCCCCACAAAACAATTGGAACGTTTGGAAGTTGCCATGCATTTGTTAATTCCAAACCAATATAGGGAGTAACTGACCCCCCCCCCTCTGTCTTACCCGATTTGATTTACGTGGCAAAAAAAATGATAATGTTTTTATTCTCTTTAGTAAGCTAAAAACCGCACCCCCCTTGGAGAAAAGTGTCTTACGGGCCTGTTGTTAAATATCATATACAGGATTAACGCATCATAATCACTTCATGCACTTTGTGGAAACATTCTAAGCTAAAGATTCTCTAATTCCATTTCAATCCTGATGTCACAAAGGATAGATCCATAGACTTCAAAATTTCAAGATCAGATGTTTCCAAATCACTATATTTACTTATGAACCCAAAACAACCGTTACCAACCAACTGCTACAATAAATCTACTTACTATTTGCAAAACTAAATGGCTCGTTTTCATGGACGTCACAAGCAGCTGCCCTGATGCGGCCATCTTTGAGGGCAGAGGCTAATGCCTGTTCATCCACTAGACCCCCACGGGCTGTGTTAATAAGAAAGGCTCCTAAACAAAAACGAACATAGATAAGAGAGTTGTTCAATTCAGGCCTATAGCCAGGATCCAAAATAGGTGAGGAAACTTTAAACATTGAGGCAAATTTAAACAAGGAGGCAAAACTTGAGGCAAAGAAAATATTATAGTTCCAAGGGGTATAATTTTTAGTTTTAGTAAAGAAAACATTGAAAAAATATTTTTCTGTAAAATTTTAGGCACAAATTTTGGTGAGGCACTTTGTAAAATTTTGGTGAGGGATTTGCCTCTGTGCCTCTTAACAAGCTTCATCCTTGCAATTATAATATAAACTTGTGAAAACAATATATTATTAATTCTCACAAATAATCATTCCTCATACTTGGATGTAACACAATGTATTGTAACTATATGTATATTGTAACTATACTGTAATTATATATGTACCATTAAAATGAAGTGGAACAAGAACACAAATGTGTACAAAATGTCCCCACTTATTGGTGATCCTGTCAAATGGTTATCCTAAAAATGAGTAGACAAGATTTTACCGACACAATTTGAGGACGGAAAATCCAAATGGCCACCTTAAAATTTACCCAGAATGCCAAAGAATTGGTCAGTTCTACATTTTCATACTAAGAACCACCCCTGAAAATTTGAAATTGATCCGTCACACAGTTAACCAGAAAACATGTAAACAAGACTTTACAGACAAGATTTAAGGACAGAAAATCCAAAATGGCTGCCTTGACATTTACCCAGAATGCCAAAAAACTAATCAGAACTAGATTTTCATACTAAAAATCATCCCTGAAAATTTGAAATTGATCAACCAAACGGTTCACCTAAAAACATGTAGACAAGTCTTTACGGGCACGATTTTAAGACGGAAAATCCAAAATGGCTGCCTTGACATTTATTCAGAATGCCAAAAAACTAATCAGATCTAGATTTTCATACTAAGAATCATCCCTGAAAATTTCAAATTGATCTACCAAACGGTTCACCTGGAAATGCGTAGACAAGACTTTACAGACAAGATTTTACGGCGGAAAATCCAAAATGGCTGCCTTGACATTTACCCAGAATGCCCAAAAACTAATCAGATCTAGATATTCATACTAAGAATCATCCCTGAAAATTTGAAATTGATCTACCAAACGGTTCACCTGAAAATGCGTAGACAAGAGTTTACAGACAAGATTTTACGACAAAAAATCCAAAATGGCTGCCTTGACATTTACCCAGAATGCCCAAAAACTAATCAGATCTAGATTTTCATACTAAGAATCATCCCTGAAAATTTGAAATTGATTTACCAAACAGTTCACCTGAAAACGCGTAGACAAGACTTTTCAGACAAGATTTTAGGACGGAAAAATCAAAAATGGCCGACAATAAAAAAGTGATTATGGATTTTTGCTGATTTCTTTTTACAAAATTATCACATATAACTACTGTTAACAATAAAATAGGCTTTTACAACAAAGGACACATGAAATTATTTATAAAGCTACTAAATAGTTAAAGTATGAAAACTGAAAAACACCATTCAATATGATACAAAGTATTATCGTGCGCTAACTTTTCTTAAAACATTCAAAATGGCTGACTTGACTGAGCTAACAGGTCCAAAACCTAATCAGATCTAGAATGAAGTGATCTGAACAAGATGTTAAAGTTTGAAAAGCAACTGTGAGGCCGTTTTTCTTAAAGTTTGCAGACAAGGATTTTAGCATTTGACTTCAAAATGGCCGACAGGAAGTAGGTATCGAGTTAATTTTTTTCCATCCACATCTTTATGCACTCATAAGTTATCCCTGAAAATTTGAAGGTGATATCTGTAATGGTTTTGGAGAAAACTGCCGGACGTATGGACGGACAGACGGACGGACAGACGGACAGACAGACGGACGGACGCGCCTAGGCCGACAATATGGCCCCACACTATGTGGTGGGGACATAATAAATAAGTTATGAAAAAGATTCATAGTACTACATACATACATACTATGAGGTAACACTATGTATTGTAGTTTACTATACTGGAATTTTATATATGTAGCATTAAAATTAAGTGTTATAGATAAATTATAAAAAAATTCATTATACCTGGTCTCATTTGTTTGATGGTATAGTCGTTTATGAGGTGGTGATTGTGTTCATTTAGATTACAGTGGAGGGAAACACAGTCGCTCTGGAACAACAGGTCCTGGAGAGTGTACACCCGCGTAATACCTGGAACAAATCAAGCCATTTTAACTAAAGCCTCAGTCACATTTGCTCTACGGCAGCCGTAGCTTCACAAAATCAATATAGAAGATCTACACTGTACTGCTTATCCCTATATTTCATGATGCATAAGGGAAGCTACAGCGGCCATACGGTTGAGGCATTAAGGAGATAGAAATAATGATAGCCTATTGTTTTGTAATTGTGAAACTGTGGTATTCATGGTAAAATAATTAGTACTGTGGGTACTGGGCTCACATGGTGTTGCTCAAAAGTGAATGATGGCTAAATTGACAGAAAAAAAGATATATTTTTTGGGCAATTTTTTATAACAAAATTATTTCATACAACTACTCTTAACCAAAGCATGGCTTTTTACAATGCAGGACACCTGAAATTATTTGTAAAGCTAGAAAATGGGCCAAAAGTAAATTTCGGGAGCGAGCTTTTGAAGCAGGAGTCACAGGCTGTTTTTTCTTTATTGGTGTTGAACAAAAAAATTTCAAACGGGAATCCTATCGACAGAGGTTTTAAAACGTGCCACTATTGTAGACTCAACAAAAACAAGAAATTCTAGAGTATGATACAGAAGCTTAAATTTTCATTTTTAATTTCAATTTATTTTAAGAATCGTCGCACAATCATATAAGGGATTAGCGACAACTTGCAATGACATGTTGAATCAATAAATATATGCCAATTGCTTCCCAGGTAATATAACATGTTTACAGAGGCTATTAGAGTAAAAATATTGAAATGACTTCACTGATCTCCCCAGGATTTTTTCTCAAGCGGGTGCAAAATTCTCATTTTCACAATTCACACTGAAATTGGTCATAATATGCCTATTTTTCATGATTTTTCTCATTTTCAAGAGAGTGCACATAGATTTTCAGGTGGGTACAAGCCTGTTTTTAAAATCTCGGTTGGGTGCTACACCCACTTGCTTTAATGCTAGGGAGATCACTGAACTAAATGATTTATACCATATACACATGTTTATTTAGTACACAATATTTTAATTCCTGTTTTATAATCATGATAGGAAGTGTTCATAACAATATTTGTTTTACAATATACAATGAATAATGGATTTATTTTGCTAATAATGTTATACATTTAACGATGCCATATGCGATATTCAGGATGTATAAATTACCTTGAAAAAAATTAATAATAAAAATTCACTTCAAAGAAATTAATTATGGACATTAAATGCTCAAATGCTCAAGTTCTCATCATAATTTTGAATGTGACAAAATGATGACTGCATTTCATGAGCAAAATTTATTCACTGGACACTATGTACTAAACTTGTCAAGCAAACCAGACCAGATCTACTACCAATTCAGCATAGAATTCTAACAGAAACTGTGATGCATTTAATAAGGATCTGTCACACTCACTTTTCTATTAAAGCAACCCTTGAAATGAGACTTCTTCCCCTCCCAACTAAAACAACAACTATTAAAAACTGTGGACTGTGTATTTATATGGAATCTGTCTGCTTAGTAATGAACACCAAAACACATTCCAGTTTTTGAAACACTTGAAGTGACACTAGTTTCCCTCCCAATTCATCAACCATCAAAAGTTTTTATATTGTTCTTTTTTATTCTATAGAATAAGGCAATCTACATGTATATGGATTGAATGAAATTTATCACTGAATATACTTTTCTTACTTGGAGATAATTGATCTAAAGGACACAACTGTCTTCAAGATCAAAAATATTCACAATCCAAGATGTATCTGTCTGAAATTATTTGCCTTATTCTACGTGGCTCTTTTTTAAGAAAATTGTTTACCTAGTGATTTTTCAATGCCGTCCTGCAAGTAGGGGTCGTAGAATATCACATTAAACCCAAATACCTTCGCTCTTAGGGCAACAGCTGTTCCAACACGACCTGAAACCAAACAATGAAAGTTAGAAATAAAAAAACTTTTGTTGGAAACAAAACAACCAACTGCAACAAACAAAGCAGGACAATATCAGAATTATACTTTTGTTGTAACATTATAAAAAAGAGAAATATTTAATTATTCATAATTTATTTGACAATCATTTATACGAGTGGCACTCAAAGGTGTGTCAATATTTTGATATACATGACAAGGTAAACATTTGTATCACTAAAATTATTACTATTCACCTTTCCACAAAGTAAAGAAAATCGATAATTTCAGGCGCGCTGATTGGCTGTATGCAAAGGAGTCAAGTCAATGACATCAATGCCTGAAAGTTTTGAAGAAATAGTACAGCCAGCATAGGAATATTTTGAATTAACTGCAATAAAAAAGATTCTATTTGCCCAATGCACTAATTATTTTTAATCAAATATGAAATATGGATGGGGCACTTTCATTCCGAACCGTACGTAATTTTATTTAATCGTTTTTTTGACAGAACTTTTGTTTATTAAGACTTCTCAGATATATGGCACACTCCTCCAAGATATCAATTCTATATCCCGATGTTTTCAAGTATTATTTTTTCAAGATACAATCTGATATGACTTGCAGAAATAAATAGGAAATAATCGTTTAGTTGATTGAATTATGGAAGTAGTGAAGTCAATGACTTAATGAATAAGAGCAAATGTTTTTAATTTGAACAGGTCATTCATCAAATGACACTGAAGATTAACTTAAGATAGATTGTCTATCTATACATTTTTATGCATGAGAGACATGTTATAATGTTGGTGAACTAATGATTATGATAATATCACCTGTTCACATCCAGTTCCTATCATGATTGGAAACTGACTTGGAGTAAGTCTCTTCAAATCATTTACTCATTATGAACAGGAGTAAACGTAGATTATCGCAAACAATTTCAAACGTTTCTAACTTGGATTATGAGTATTTTCTGATCATGAACATGGGTGTATCTTTTAGATCCATTCATTATCCTTAAGAAAAGTATATATAATCATAATTTAGTTAATCAGACCTAAGTGATATTGAAGGGGCAATGGACCAATCAACATACTTTTTCAAAAATGTTGACCTAATTTTCACCAAAAATGCAATCGTTTATTATATTGTTGAATGCATAATTAGAATGTGCTTTGAGACATGTTCGATTTCTTAAAAGGAAAAGTTGATTGCTCCAGGGACTTTTAATATACTGAATTTGAATGACCAAAATGAACTGAAACCAATGGATAGCATGAGATTTTTCAATGGAGAAATAACATGGGGAACACTTATCTTAAACAAATTATGTTTTTCTTTCAAGAACTATTTGACATAAAATAAAGAAAAGTAATACATTAAACATTGTCAAAAATGATTGCATTTTTGGTGAAAATGGGGTCAACATCTTTGAAAAAGTGTGTGGATGGGTTGATTGCTAGTTAAATATCTCTGAGTTTGTTTAACTTTATTTTTACTGTATATAATTTTCTTTGAGATAGTGAATTGATTTAAAAGATAAACCTGTCTTCATTGTCAGAAAATAGTCATAATCCAAGATATAACCTTTTGAAATTGTTTGCGATAACCTACATGCTCCTTTAATATTCAAATCGATTAGAAGGCGTAAATAAATGTCAATTTGACGTTCAATAAAAATCTGTCAATAATTTACTGATTACTTGCACATTTGAAGAGGTAAAATGTACAGCAATCAACCGAGGATTTACATGTAAACTCAATTGCATTTGTTTTTCGCGGGAAAAAGTTTCTCTCATTGACGTCACCGATTTTTAAGCAGCTCATTATATTATTCATGAGCTGACTTTGTGGAAAGGTGAATAGATAAAAATAAAAAATGACATATATTGATACGGTAAAATCAAAACAATATGTCACCACTTGTAGTAATGACATAAAAATAGATTAAAAGCCAATGGTGCTATGTTTCATGTGAACATTTTTGAGAAATTGTTCACACAAATATCAAAATTCCAACCACTGCTGTGCCCCAAGAATCCACTTTAATTTAATTGCTGGGAAGGGAAATTCAGTTACTGGGACACAATAAAACAAAACAAGTACAATTAAATGTACTGGCAAATTGTGAAAAACCTTTTTGATCTGCTTTATATCGCAAAGCTATCAAATTAATGAAAATTAATTACAGTATAGCAAATGGGGGAAACATTAAGTAAGAACTTGAACAAAGAACATCCTTAGCAAATTACCAAAATCATTCTTTACTCAAAGCGTCTACTTCCTTCTACTATTTAGATCCTGAGCACTTTGAATTAATGTTAATGAGATATTTATTTTGGTATAATGCGTATGAAGAGACCCTGGTTTCCGAGTCAATGAACTCCCTGTCTTGCACTTTTCCATATCAAGCAAGTTTGGATTTATTCTTAGTTTTATTTGACTTACCGAGACCCACAATGCCTAATGTGTCACCACGGATACGGGCTGAACCTTGCGCAGCTTCCCGTAGCTGCTCTGGGCCACATATTTTTTTGCCCTCCTTCACGAGGTTTGCGAGCCAGTAGGTACGACGGTATAAGTTCAGAATGAGGCAGAGGGTAGAATCGGCAACTTCTTCCACACCGTAACCCGGAATATTACACACAGCAACACCTAGAATGTAAAATTTAAATTAATTATTCCTCAGAGATCGTGGAGTGAGCGACATACATTCAACAATTTCGAGAGAGGAAATAACATGTACTTAATTCTCTTTTCAATATTTAAAAATGAATGAAAGGAAATTCAAACATAGCTAGGCAAGGTGTGTCCGATTCCAGACAATCCAAACAGAGTACTCACATAATGAACAATGTGTGAAATATCAGTAATGCATTTGTTGAGTGCAAAGTGATTGAAATTGAAATTGAGTTTATCAATACTTGCCCCTTGCAAAAGTTTCATTGAAAATATGTTCTTTTAGGGATTTTGTATCTTTTATGTGATTTTATAGAAAATATTTTGCAATGTGTGAAAATAATTTAAGCCCCAGACTCAATGCATTGTGGCTGCTTCATTTCACTCAGATGTTGTTTCCTAAACTTTGCATTCCCCTGCGGGGTCATGCAAACATTTGGAAACAACATCTTTGTGGAATGCTTCAGCACACAATGCACTGAGTCCAAGACTTAAATCCTTAAATCTGTGTGTCCCATCCCTTTTATCTTTAAACCACTCAAGGAACATAAACAGGAAGGATACAAGATCAAACTGAGACATGTATCAAGTAAACGATTTTCAATTTAAACTATTAAGTTTAGATAAATATTCTGTAAGAATTTGTATTAGTAAGACAGTGCATGATAGTCAGTTAGTTGTTAAAAAAGCTCAGATGGAAAACATAAAACAATAGTAGAAAATACAAAGAAATACCAATCAGCAAACAACTCAGCCATGATCCATCTCGGATGATATTTCAACATTTATTTTAATGATTTTTTTTCATTATTAGAAAAAAATGAAAACTGAAGAGAGTAAAATAACAACTAGATGAATATGCCGATTGTTCACTTCTATTCAAACCAGTTAACCAAATCTGGATATTTCATTGCTTTAGAACTAACTTTAACTTCTACATTATTAACTCAAAGCTTGTATCTAGAAGGATCATGCTTTCAAGCATTTTTGCAAGGTATATTCAATAAGCGGAAATCTTTGAGAAAAGCAAAACATTTCTAAAGGAAATTTGAAATTTAGAAGACGTACTTTTTTGTAATTTCCAAAAGAAAATTTCGTAACCAATGACACCACACTGAAGAAGTTCTAAACTGAATAGAATTGCTAATAAAAGTTTTAAACTAAAAAGGAGGAATATCATGAAACTTTAACCAAGAGCTCAGAAAAATCCTTTAGAGCCTATCTAACTACACCCAGTAGCATGCAGAGTAAGTGAACAGCTCAAACCTAGCTCCCCAGCTGCCTTTATGTCAATGTTATCCACCCCCGTCCCGAGTCGAACAACGACACGTAGATTTTTAAACTTCTTAAGGTCTTCCCGGGCTAGTGTGATATGATGGTACAACATGGCCCCTACTGCTTCGTTCAACACCTACAAGTAGTGTTAGCAGACGGAATTAGCAGACGGCAGAAATGTATTATGGGATATGAAAGAGGATCATGGGAAATTCAATTACTGGAATGTGTTTTGGTCTCCATTACTTAGCAGACGGATATCATTTAGATACACAGTCCAATTCTTCAGAAGTCTTTGATCTAAAGATGAGAAGAGATCCTTTTATCAATCAGTCTGTTGACAAAAGCAACAAAAGGGCGGCAAGCAGTGGATCAAAAGGAGTCAAATTTTGTAGAACTAGAGGGAATCCAAGCAGGTTCAGGGTTGTCAAGTGTATGATAAAGGAGCTAGGGGATCTAGGTATATTCTGTTCAAAACACTGAATAGAGAAAGAAGCTTATTATAATACATGGCAGAGTGGTGCATAATAAATAAATCTTATAATTTAATATGAAAGGTACTTAAGCGCCTCAAGTTTCAGATGTAATTCCCAATCCAATAGATATATTTTTACCATTGGGAATAAATTTCACTCAAAGCCTATGTTTAGATGAGCAAGGGTAGCCAGAGGCCCTTGAATATTTCAGTTGATTAAAATTGATTAAAATTTGCAGTAACTCTCTGATGCCAGGACAGCTACAAGAAAAGCTATGTGGGATGGCTCTCATATTGTTTACTTCTGTCAACAATTATAAAACATCATAGATATTCTTTTCACTTCATCGATTATTCTTTTCATCTCATAAACACAAAAATGAATTTTTACATTTATATAGGGCGTATCAAAAAAGCACAACAAGTAGTTATCTCGTAAAATCACGATACTAGTGATGACTACATCAATTTCATTCAATGTACCATAAAGCAACGTCTCTCCTCTTTGCAATGATATGTCATTCATTCACATGTGCTAATGGAGGGCAATTTGGAGGGATATAGGATGTATTCTTGCAAGAGTATGAGTATTAACACTTTACTGTCTATGCCACGCCTGTCACACCTTCTCCTAATAGCCCCTATGCCCCTTGTACTGAGTTTTGCAATGTTTAAAACTTGGGTCCGAGCTGAATTTTGCCCCACTTTGCATGAATGAATGATTCTGTGAATTAATGATATTCCATTGCAAAGAGGAGTAATTTGGCTTTTTGGTACATTGAATGAAAAGGATGCAGTCAGCATTGGTTTTATGTTTTCTTCCAATATTGAATCGGGCTCCGTACACTGACTTTTGCGATGTTTATAACTTGGTTCGAGCTTATTTTGGCCCACTTTGCAAATGGAATGTTTACTCGCCCAACCATGACCAAATATCAATGAATGATATATCATTGTAAAGAGGAGACACGTGGCTTTATGGTGCATTAAATGAAATCAATGCTGATATCACTGGTTTTGTGCTTTTCCGAGATAACAATCTGTTGCGTTTTTTTTATACACACTGTGTAGTCGAGAAGGAATGATAATCTGTCCCCATTTTCATATCCTTGATTATTTTTCATAGTTTTGTTTCATTTAATTTTATTTGCTGTATCCTCATTCTGGATGTTAAGGTTGCCATAGTTAACAAGAAAAGAAAAAACCATTATAAATGTGAAAAGATTAACTATTAAGGGTATAGATATACCATAAACAGAAAGAAACAGAGAATTAAATAAAATATCACCCTAAGTATCGAGGTTCGACAAAATCCTTACTATCTAAACAATCTAAAATACACAGTGACAGATGACTGTGACTTATGAAATAATAAAATTAGAGGATAATTGATATTGATGAATGATGTTTAAAATTACTCGGGCCAATGAACTTTTAAAAATCAATTCACACAAAAGTGATTTTCAAAGTGAGCCAGACCCAATACTATCTGTAATATTTCATTAGGTGTATAAAAATTTAATAATCTTAATTTTTTTTTAATAGTACTCATATTATTTAGATGACTTGGGGTGATATTTTTAGAAATAGTTAAGCAATTCTTCATGCTACACAATCCTTGACCACGCTTGTTGTGAGATATTAAATCACATATAATAGGCCAAACTGCCGCCCAGTTACATCCATTACCTCGTTCACCAGCGGATTTAATGTCAATGTTATCATAACCACTACCAATGCGGACAATGATACGCAAGTTTTTGAACTTTTCCAGATCCTCTTTCTTTAGTGTGATCGAATGCCACAAGAGGGCTCCTACGGCTTCTGTTAATACCTAAAAATTTGTCAGACGGGAAAATGCAACATGGAACATAATTGCAGATATAATAAAAATGTTCAACTTAAAGGAATTATCGCAACATATTCTAACCCTAAGTTGAAAGTGAAATTTTCAGATTTTTCGAGCAATAAGCATTTTAGACAAAATAACCTGGAAATGTTTACAAAATTACACGACAAGAACATTCAGTTTATTAAAATAGTGAATATAAATGGCAGTAGTTGAAAAAATATTATTTTTAAATAATTGAAACAATTGGTCACATACTTTCTCATGAATTTCTGTTGTAGATTGCGCATCGCAAAAGGCGACTGTGGCGACATCTTTTAATATCGGCATTTCTACTGAACAATCTCGTCCATCTAATAACGCCACAAGGGGGCGTGGGTGTGCTGGACCATTGGGCATTGGTCTGTTAGCCACTGGAATAAATAAGAATTATTTTATTACAGACAGATAAAAACAGTATGTAAGTATATGTACATAGATTAAAGCAATTACATATTATATCGAAGCTGGTGTCATCTGTTTCAAAGTGTATCTTTAATTCAACATTTTTCTTGGAATTCTACGCAACTAATATTCTCATATATGAATTATGAGTAAATTATGCAAAATTCTTTTTTGCATAAAATTAGGCAGCCAGTTTACACCAGAATACATGATATCAACCTATAAATTTTAAACGACGTAAACTTACTTTTTGGTGGCAGTATAGTTTCTTTGTAATTGTTATTTTCTGGTATAATCTGAGGCAGTTTTCTTCGAAGACAATTATTTCTTCGTCTTTCAGCGTGTTTTGGCAACTGTGGAGGTAGCTCTATTTTCTTCTGAGGATCAACTTCGGGATCTGCAACCGGAATTTCCCCCTCTTTCTTTTCGCCTCCGTGAAAATGTCCACTACAGACTCGTAGCTAAAAATAGACCCTTCGATTGATTAAAAACATGCCCTGTGTGAAGTGAACAATTCCGGTTATTTTTTGTATTAAGTTAATGCAGATTAGATGGACCATATTTAAGTAACAAGGGAGAGACTTTAGAGGTAGTAGAAAAATGTAGTGTAGTTAAGGCAGCTCCGCATGAGAACTTAAAAATAATTTTCAAGATTACAATTACCAATATATTTCTCATGAAATGAACCACATTTTATGTGGATATTTACTCATTTTGGTAGAATTCTTAGTTTCCAAAATGAAACTATTTCATTTAAACTGTTGGAATGGCATTTCTCTGAATTACATTTTATCTGTTTTAGGATCAGTGCGGAACCACCTTAATAGACAGATGAAGATGTTCACTTTAATGTTCAATATAGATATAAAGTGGAGGTAACCAAGAAGAAAATACAATGATAAAATACTAGTGCACTAAACACTGTGCTAGTGAGAAATTAAGCCATACCCTTCACCCAAAAATTTAAAGCAAGCAATAAAGAAATGAAAAGTGTAGAAGTGATATGGTGTGAGAAGTGATATGGTGTGAGAAGTGATATGGTGTCAGAAGTGATATGGTGTGAGAACTGACCAATTTGATTTCGTGAGATCATGCATCACTGCATATGACTAATACAGCAGCTATAGCTATGTGACTAAAACAGCTGTTTTAGCTAGGTGACAAATACAGTTGTTTTATTCAGCTATGTGGCAAATACAGCTGCCATAGCTAATATATCTCCAGCTATATTGGGAAAAATAGGAATCATAATGGCAATTAGTGGAAATATACAATGAAAAATTGCAGCTGGAGAAGATGTGGATTACTATGAGTGAGAAACATGAGAAAATGTGAATCAACAATGGTAGGAAACATGAGAAAATGTGAAATACTAGGAGTGAGAAACATGAGAAAATGTGAATCAACAATGGTAGGAAACATGAGAAAATGTGAAATACTATGAGTGAGAAACATGAGAAAATGTGAATCAACAATGGTAGTAAACATGACAAATGTGAATCAACATTGGTAGTAAACATGGGAAAATGTGAATCAACAAGGATTAACAAACATGAGAAAATGTGAAATATGAGAAAATAGAGTAAGAGACATGAGGAAGTTTGAAACATGAGAAAACATGATTCACCGAGAACAGTAAACAGGAATCGTTGAAAGATGAACAAGTATTCACCTGAATAGTATGAAATATTTGTATAATTTATTTTTTATTGACTCTTCATCATGTAAGTCTCTGACACATGTCAAAGATCCAGATAAAGCCGTCATTGTTAAACATATTTCAATGGTGGTATAATTTTATATTTTATAAAGCAAGAAAATGAAAGATCATTATTATGTATATGTATTCAGTCAGTTTACCAAAAAAATGAAAGGAATATCAATAGGATTCTATGAATAATATTCAAATATGATGAACAAGTCTGCCCTAAGTCTGCTCTATCAGAGAATACTGCACAAAGCGAGACTATAAGCATTATGAACAAATATTACTTTTCTGAATGATGACACCCATATATTCCTTTGCACACTTGTCAATAACTACATAATAATAACAATAACAAGGTCCATTAAATGCAATGTGTTGAGATGTACATCAATCCCTCTGAGACAATGTGACTGAACACTAATGTTTATATAGATGATCTTGGGCTGGTACCCAACTAGGAAAATATCATGTTTGTCATGTTTAATTGCAAATTAGAGAAGAATGGAGTAGGAATATTGAGTGATAAAGTTTATGTAAACAGGCATGTAGTTAATATTCAAAATTGAGTAAAAAAGCAGGGAGGTTAGTATGACTTTTAAACCAAGAAACAACTGAATATGTTTCAATTGGGTTTATGAATTGAAACATGGGATAGCCGTTATCAAAGCATCAATATTGCAAAATTTATCGTAATAGATCCATGGCTTTTCACATACAGTTGCATCAGTTTAGGAAATATGCTATTTGCTTCTAGCGAGCAAATACACGATACCCAGGGGATACCCGGTATGTGCAGTATGACAAATGGGATCATCCCATACCCAGGGTATACCCGGTATGTGCAGTATGACAAATGGGATCATCCCATACCCAGGGTATACCCGGTATGTGCAGTATGACAAATGGGATCATCCCATACCCAGGGGATACCCGGTATATGCAGTATTACAAATGGGATCATCCCATACCCAGGGGATACCCGGTATGTGCAGTATGACAAATGGGATCATCTAACACAACAGGATACTCCTGTTATACGCTTCTTCCCCTGCACTTTGTTTCTTAGGATTTCTTCATGATTTAGATTGACTACCTGACTGTTAAATATTCCCTGCAAATTCCACTCTATTGCATAGTATCTAACAAAAATATGATCACATTGGTGTTATGAACAAAGTCAAACTTTTATTGAAGTCAAAGCCGAAACTGGCATTAATGTGTTTTCATGTTAAACAATCATGGATATAACCAACATTTAGTGATTTTTTATATTGATATAAATAGAAAAAAATTGACATAAATAAAGGAAATAATATAGAAGTTGGTAATCTGCTTTTGTTTGGACAGTTTTATTGAATGTAAATATTTTTTTATATCCAGACATCTATGAAATACCTACAATTTATGAGTACAATGAGACAAAATCACCGTTACCATTAATTTCATATCCATGAATAATAAAAAAATTATTGTAGGATAATATAAAATACTTAATATGGTAAAATGTTGGAAAAACAATCTCTACTCTTTGTCTTTAAAAAATGATCAATTCAAGCGTTAGCAGTATTTTTACCAAAACATCAAATCTTCACTTCTTTATAATTCTAATGCAGTATAAATATACATTAATTTTTTGCTTTAAAATGGTAGCTTTCAGATGGTGTTCCTATCTCAAAAAGTGATGCAATTATATAAAAAACAGTAGATCAAAAATACAGGATGTATAAACAACCTGGATTAACAAGAATAGAATAAAAAAACTACAATTTTATGGTTTATCTTTGTATGTTTTTTGCTGATTACTGACTTGAATATCAACACTGATAAAACAGCACCAGGCAATAAATGAAAAGTTTGATTTCAAATGTCAGGTAGCCAACTAGACCTGATTGAATGCACGTAGTATAGTTTATAAAAGATTTAAACATGGGTTTACACCTGTAAGACTATATTAATATATACACTGTTAATATTTTATATACGTATGTTGAATTTGAATCTAATAATGGAGCTCTTTTTCATTCTTAAATTAGGATGTAACTTTTGTGGTTTAGACCAGAGTACAATGTCAGGCTGCTTCGAGACTAGTGCACTTTCTAGTTGAATGGCCATGATAATTCCAACTCAAATGAATCTATTGGGAAATATGCTGAAAGATAAACTGAGAAAGGGACACAAAAGTTATGGATGACTGAACTAAAATAAAAGGACACCGTTTAATACATTTAAAAATATTAAAATAAAATCATAAATATATTGAAGATTACCTTTTGAGTTTTTTGTTTGTCGAATTTAGAAAGATTCTCAACCAGCTCAGATGAAATGCTGCGAGATTCTCTTTTTCTTAAGATACTTTGATTTGCTTTCAAGCATGTTACATCACAACGTAGCCTCGCAATATGATTGGCTGCATCATTCAGCCGTTTCACACAATTTCTGTAAGTGGCTTCATTTTGAAGTAGATTGTCTACGTTTTGAGCATGATCCAACTCTTGAGTGTGATCAAAATTGTTAGCGTAATCTAAGTTTTGAGTCTGGCCCAAGTTTTGAGTATGGTCTGAGTCCATTTTTGTGTATTTCAGAGAGAGTTCATTTTTGCTGGATACCCAAGTCTTTTTGCTGTATGTGTCTTTGGTATTTAACTCTGGATTAAAGTTCTCAAATAATTCAGTAATTATACTGTCATTGCTTTCATCGAGGCATGTTTCAGTGGCTGACATTTCTGAGTAATTAATATCATCACATAATTCAGAGGAGCTTGCATTGATGTTTTTTGAAGCAGATTCATTAGGTTTACTCACAAGCTCTGTGGTTGGTTCATGAATTTTTTCTTGAACATTAGTTGTATCATCAACATCTGAGAAGGAAATCTCCTCTTCAGTTATTTCAAACTCGGTATATAGAAGATCTGCATTCTCGTTGTTCTTACTGAGATCATTAACTTCATTCATAGTTCTTTCTGGTGAGTTGTCTCTTCTCATGTTGTCAGTGCCATGTTCTTCTGAAACGGACTGCATATGTTTCTTGACATACGAAACAAAGCTGCCATTGAAAGTGCTTTCATCGCATAGGATGTCAGGCATATTGTTGTTTTTAGAATTTTTGATGTCATCTTTTGAACTATCAATTTCTTGATCTTCTGCATCCTCTGCAATGTCAGAAATCTCATATTTTATAACTGCTGAGGAGGTATCTTCTTGCGTTTCACTATCACTAAAACTATTATTCATTTCATGCTCACGTTCAGTTTTTACAACATTATCCTTGTCAAGATCTGTGTTTTCGCCAAGTTCATAAAGCTTATTCAACATGCCATCTAAAATTTCCCGGCATTCTTCCCGAACCTCATAATGATTAGAAACATAGCGTACAACGGCAATTAGTGGCACATACCTTGCACCATTTATTCTTATAATTCCGGTACTATAACGATTGAGCTCTCTAGCCATCATGGAAGTTTTCAACACTTGTGACTTTGGCATTTTTGAACGTCTGAAAAATTTGAGCACGCTAGTGAATTTCAGGTAGTACTCATTATCAAAAATATACATATCGAAATTCTTGAAATGGAATTTATTCCTTGTAAGTACCATTTGATTTGTGGATTCTAAAGCCTCAACTTTATTGATAGTGAAAAGTTTATCCATGATTTCTCCAAAGAGTTGATTACACGGTTTCCAATTCTTAACATCCCATCTCTGTGAGATATATCGAAAAAAGATCTGAAAGGGCACAAATAGTTCCTCAATTTCTTTAGCCTCTTCAGCCTCTTTAGTGACTTGAGTATTAATGCATAAATCTCGTTTCAGATGTGATATTTTCAGCTCTTTATCCAGTCCCTGCCGTAAGTACCAATATAAGTCATTGAATTTAATATAACGCTTATCTTCAAATACATGTATCTCAAATTCTTCGTAGCTTTTAGGCACTGGGTATGGAGGTACCTTACTAAGCCCATCACATGGTTTTATGTCAGTTGAACACATGTTTGTATTCAGAATGTTAATGTACCATGCACTTGCTGCATAAATTGTCATTGATACACATTATACTGCTCATCATTTGAAGTATTGTGACCTACAGTCAATGTAGTGTTCCAACACACATAACAGTCTGGGTTTTAAATAGACAATGTCTCACTTGGTTAAGTTCTATTCAGTTGTTTAATATGATGTCATGATAACTAGTAGAACGCACTGGAGTGTAAATTCACAAAATTATTTGAAGAGTGGCTGAAAAAGCTTTTAATACAAGCTCATTCTAATAACAAGTCTAATATGATAAGATCCACTCAGAACATAACAAGGTATGAACTTTAGTTGAGATTTTCGGCCATTTCCGCTGATGTCTTTTTGATCAATGTAGTCAACAAGACACTACATTGTCCAATACTTAATCCTTGCCATTAACACCCAAAAAATATAACAATCCATTGTAATTATGTTATATTCAGTAGCTGAATCAGATCAATATAATATTAATGGTAACTGCCACTGGTATACATGCCACACACACAAACTCGCATTTGAGTTATCTGATAATATTGCATATGATGATGTCATCAAATGAGATGTAGCGGCTATAAAGATTTTTTGAATTTATTGTTTATTGTATATGCATCTGGGCTCGTAGTCATATTAATATTGTTTTTTTAGTATACGGGTGTCTGTCTGCCACTCTTTCTATGTTTATATATTTTTCATTTATGGTTTTGCCACTCATTTGTGGTTTTGCCACTCATTTGTGGTCTTGCCACTCATTTGTGGTCTTGCCACTCATTTGTGGTCTTGCCACTCATTTGTGGTTTTGCCACTCATTAATGGTTTTGCCAATCATTTGTGGTTTTGCCACTCATTCGTGGTTTTGCCAATCATTTGTGGTTTTGCCAATCATTTGTGGTTTTGCCACTCATTTGTGGTTTTGCCACTCATTTGTGGTTTTGCCAATCATTTGTGGTTTTGCCAATCATTTGTGGTTTTGCCAATCATTTGTGGTTTTGCCAATCATTTGTGGTTTTGCCACTCATTTGTGGTTTTGCCACTCATTTGTGTTTTGTTGTATCCTGTTTGGAGAGGCCTGTTTGATTTTTAAAAGTAAATGGCATTATAATTACATGTAACTCATTGCTCAAAAAAAAAATTAAAAAAAGTTCTATCCATGATGTGCAAAGCTTCGCAGGCAGTCTCGATCATATCATTTGAGATATATATTCTTTTCTTAATCAGTGTCCAAGCCAGATCTCTTTAATAATGACATTAATCCTATTTTGTCAATTGTATAGATTGTTTACGAAAGTGTGTCTTGCGGAATCACGAGGTTCTTTCAATATTCCCTATGATTTTAATTGATACTTCCAATGGTGTTACCGGATAAGCGCAATGCTCTCTCCATGCCCTCACATCCTTTGCTGACATGGCCTGTACATGTTTACATTCTCACTCAATCATGAATGCAATCACGTCCTTATAATTCCTAGTTCGTTGAAATTAATATGGTGCAGTTTACGATGAATAAAGAAGGGCCAAGTTTTTGTCAGCCTCGTTTGATTTACTGCGACGAGCCTTGTTAGTTTCCTAAGTTCTAATTTACCTGTTGGAGCAATATTCCAAATAGCCTCAAGTGAATTATTAAAGTCTGTCTAATGTCAGTGAACATCCATAAATGTTACAGTGAACTATAATTCCTTTTTTCTAGACTTGCTAAATATGCATTGATTACCAGATGTGCGTTGATCATTTCGAGAGACAGCTTATGTGTTTGTAGATGTGTAAAAAACCAAGTTAAAATATTAACAATAACCAATAACATAATCCCTAGTCGTAATTTTCAAACTAAAACAAACAGTGTGTTCAACATAAAATAATAAAAAGCAGGAATTAAAGTCATATTATATATCATTTACCAATGCAAAATGTGATATCTATATAATGTCTGAAATGTGAATGTCTTAAATGTGAATGTGTGAAATGTTCAATCCTTGCAACTTTTAGTCTGGAAATGATAGCATTTACAATGTATGAGCTTAAAAGATTACCGTCTGCATTTTTTAATAATAACAATAATGATATGTCATCAAAGTTCAAATTGATTTACAATCAATAAAAAAAACTATTTCCAAGAATTCAACATATATCTGATATGTGATGACATTACTATATTTCATTATTAGATAAATGAAATACATTCAGAAATTGATATAAAACATTTTGCACTCAGAGTTCTCAATATAATAATTTTAATAATTAAAGTGGTTCCATCTATTAAAGTCAAGTGATGTATAAACTCAAACCAACAAAATAGATTTGAACCACTGAGTTATGTTTTAACCACAGATTATTTATAAAAGGGTATATCTAAATGATTAGGGCTATATTCATTCCTCAAAGATCATTAGTTGCAGATATCTGAGCTATTAATCTGATATTTGAACAATCAAGCTGATGTATAAACCATGTTGGAGATATTTGAACCATTGAGGTGATATTTGAGCAATTAAGGTGATATCTGAACCATGTAAGTGATATCTGAATCATGTAGGTGATATCTGAACCATGTAGGTGATATCTGAACCAAATAGATGATATCTGAACCATTTTAAGAGATCTTTGAACAATGCAGATGGTATTTGAACCATCAATGTGATATCTACACCAAAAAAAGTGATATCTGAACCATGTAGGTGATATCTGAACCATGTAAGTGATATCTGAACCATGTAGGTGATATTAATAACAATAGCTCACCCATGGGAGCTAAAAACATTAAGATGATATTAGATAAGTAATATTTGATCCATACAATGAATCCTGAATCATATAATGATATCTAAAACATATAGATGATATCTGAACCATTTAAAGTGATCTTTGAACAATGCAGATGGTATTTGAACCATCAATGTGATATCTACACCAAAAAAGTGATATCTGAACCATGTAGGTGATATCTGAACCATGTAGGTGATATCTGAACCATGTAAGTGATATCTGAACCATGTAAGTGATATCTGAACCATGTAAGTGATATCTGAACCATGTAGGTGATATCTGAACCATGTAAGTGATATCTGAACCATGTAGGTGATATCTGAACCAAATAGATGATATCTGAACCATTTAAAGTGATCTTTGAACAATGCAGATGGTATTTGAACCATCAATGTGATATCTAGTCAAAAAAAATGTGATATCTGAACCATCAAGGTGATATTTGCACCATCAAGGTGATATTTGCACCATCAAGGTGATATCGGAACCATCAAGGTGATATTTGAACTATCAAGGTGATATTTGAACCATCAAGGTGATATTTGAACTATCAAGGTGATATTTGAACCATCAAGGAGATCACCATCAAAGTAATATCTGAACCTTGAAGTTGATATTCAATCCATCGTCAATGCTGAATTTTCCTCTATTAGAAAAGTATGAAGTTTAAATGTGAATTCTCCGAGAAGAATCTTACAAGAAATAAGAATTCTCCCACAAGAAATGTACGATGATATCAGACACGTTTGAATAGCTAGCATGATTAAGAAGTCATTGAATCTTAAGATATCCATGATAGCTGCAGAGTAAAGAATGAATGAATGAAAAAGGTGTGATAAGAATTAAGAAATAAGAGGAAGAATACTGAATGCGCATCTGTTTAATCAGTGCATGAAGAAAGATAAATGTGGATAAAAATCTAATTCTGCATCTAAATGGCCTAAATACATGCATACTAATATACGTCTTACTTACCAATGGAAATAAACGTGCAATTTGAAAACGAGGTTTCAAAAAACATTTATTTCGCATCAGAAAATATGTACCAAATGAAATGATGTCATGTTGCTATATTCATCATTTGCAATGAGAATTATATCTATCTAACATCATCGGTACATATTTTCTGAAATATACATAAATATAAATTGTATCGCAAATAGTGGAAGGCATTTCTACTGCCCTATAAACAACTACCTACCATCGTTTACCTAAATATCTTGGCGTGAAGTAACAAATAAATTCAGAGAAAATTGAAAGTGGATCTAAATAAGTTTAAAAGATGAACTAAATGTTTAAAATTGTAAAATGCAAAATTATAATGATAAAACAGATAAATTAAGATAAAATCTAGAAAACTGTAGAAAAAAGCTAATAATAAAAAACTAGTCATCTCCAAAAAAGTTTTAGATGAACCATACCTTATATGGTGTCAAATCTTTTTAATGATCTGTAGTTCGGTGGGAGTAACAGCGCTTTTTACAACAGCACGATGGGGGAGTAAACCTAAATGGCAGAATAGCATGCATATAAATATACATTTATACAATTCATTTTAGGACAACTTCCATGCAAAAATTATAGAAAAATTGGGAAACAATGTTATAATGCATTAGCGGGGCAACTTTTACATGGACAATCTTATAATATACAAGAAACGGACGTTAAACGGACACATCTCTGCAACTGGAACACAATGCAACTCTTGTTAAGGCCACACCAAATAGTATCTCTATCAAAAATGATTAGAGAACATACTTTTGGCTATATTTTCATCTGAAAGTATATGGTAGAGAATCAAAATAGTTAATTTTTGGTTCTCCTTTTTACACCAAAATATATACAATATGTATACATATAAACAATATATAATCACATAAAAAACGTATATAACCAATACAATATTGTACATAACAGGCAATGAAAAATGCAAAATATATATTCATAATGACCATGGCTATTGCTTTGAGAAACAGGCATTAACATGAAAAAATGTCATCACCTTGAAAAATGTAACAATCGTTACAGATGCCAAGACCAAAATAGAATGCCAGTCACTTAAATGGAAGCTATAACAATGTAACACAGCTTCTTGGAGGCCACACAATTGGTAGCTATAACAATATGTCACTATTTCTTGGTGGTAACATAATAAAACCTTTACAGTATAAAGAACACACAAGGCAGACAGAATTATACATGATAATGGTTACTTTACATGCAATCATAATGTAATAGGCTTTCATATATTTCTCATATTGTGTCGGGTCTGTTTGAGTATGGGTCTGTAGAATGTAGTAGGGGGATTGATGCTTGATTCTCCCCACAGTATACAGTAATTATCAATTGCTAGATTATGTTTCAAGGCGCAGAATAAATGAAGACAAAATTACAAATCATCAAACATGTGCTCTCTTTTAACCAGTTAACAACTGGAAAATATGACAGTATACTTCAACTGCATGAGCTTACCCAGCTTACCCAGGAGGGGGTTTTTGAGCAAATTTCACTTTTCCCCAGGGATTTTTTTCACAGTACTGAGGAAGGGGAGACTCTGTGATAGGTAGAGAAATTAGGGTTCAAAAGTAAACTCCGACAATGGAGACTGTTTTTTGTTGTTGTTTTTTTAGTGGTAGATGCACCTGGATATGCCCCTGCAATGCTTTCTAATTTTAGAAAAGAATGTATAAGAGACCATATCAACTTTTTAAACACATTTATATCTCATGTCATCTTAGTCAAAGTAAGCTTCAGTCAAATCGACCACTTCCTCATTCCCAGGTACTGTATCTTAAAATCTTTGAGATGGACCATTATATTTAGAATAAATATTTCATTTTTCCATTAACAAAAAATAACTGAGGCATTAGCATGCAAATGTCACCACCTGCCATTTATTACAGAAATTGGGCCAAAAATTATATTAGGGCTCAAATGAGTCGGCCTTTGGGCATTACTTGGCCTTATCTTTTTCTTTTAATTTTTGGCTGGAATTTGAAGAAAATGGGCCCTGAATTTTCAAATTTCAGGCCTAATTTTTTATATATTTTTTTTCCAATCTGCGCCCGATTTACGGCAATTTTGTCAAAATGGGGTTTTTGAGGTTACTAAGATAAATTAACAAAAAACAATTTAATCAATTTCCCTATTGATTTGCCGATGAGTATAGTTATGTAAAATCAATAAAAATACCCCAAACAAATGTTTATCTAAAGGAGGTCTAAATTATCATTTTCCATCTCTTATTAAAAACTGAACATTTTATTCAAAACGTGAATGTTTTTCAAAAAAGTGAACCTCAGAATCAAATGTTTCACCCCTAGGATGCTATAACGTAATCTAAAAATAAAGACCAGATAAAACAAAATACACCAGTGCATTAGTGACATCTGAATTTCCTCGCCAGAAAATTTCCTTCCATCACATTAATGAGGTAAAATGTATATTAGCGTGAGTAATATCAGCACAAGATAGAAATAGAAAACATTACTTTCCTGTGTGGTATTTGACCACAAATGTAACCATAGAAAATAACAAATAATTTCTATAGTGAGGAAGAGGAAAATGGAAGTTATATATAGAAAGAGTTTAACAAATATTAATTTTTTATATTTATGATTTTCTATATGATTTGGGGTCCAGACTACATGTATGTTTACTATATTCCTTGCTGATTCTACCTCGTTTCACTCTATCTTCAATATCAAAACATAACATCTTATCATTTTTCTCAAATATTCTCAGTATTCCCAGGTCCTAACATTTGCGGAAGTTCACCTAAATCCATCAATCTTTTACATGCCTCTTCAACAACTCATAATTTATTACAAAAATCATAAATCACAATTTGTTAAGAATAAACTGGTCTTAGACATGTATAGTGATGACCTATTAGCTAAAAAATATGACATTATTCTCCACGATTCTTCTCATATCAATGAAGTTTGTGATAACAAAAAAGCTCCAGGGATTACTTTGAAAAAATTACTTCCTATCAGAAGTTTGTCCACGAATTGTTCATATAATCAGCTTATTCACACTCGGATCTACACGGCAATTTCTTGAAATGTCAGACCAATCATGTTTTCAACCCAGATTAACCTAGGAATAGAGTGGAACTGGATAACAGCAACGCCAAGGCGTAGCAAATCCCATTTGAACATCCAATGAGCGTCAGACAGCACTGCTAAAAAAAATCTCTCAAAATGACCACACTAGATATATTGCTAAAAGATATCAAACAAAAAATATACATTAACAAAATTGCTCCACTACTATTCCAGTTGAAGAGACAAAAATAACACAAATATAGCAAAAATTGTACAAAATAACGTACAAGGCCACAATTTTTCAACAGTTTTTTTAAATCTGATTTTGAACTAAATAAAGTACTCGGTCATAAAGTACATACTCTAAGCTGTGTACGAAATCCAATCTGAGAGAGAAATTATGTGATATAAGCATGAGCGGGCGGACATTCTGATGAGGAATTCTGAACACAAATGAGACCAAGATGATATACATCTGGAGAAAAAATACAATTAACATCTTAAATATGTTCCTCAAATTTGGACTTATATTTCACATATTCTCTAGAAGAAACATATTTTTTATAATATCTGATATCATGCAGGTATTCAACTTAACACGGTTGCGCCCCATTTAATCCCAAATATGGTCATACATAGTATTAACACCATTGTACCGCCACTGAATAACAATGAAGCTACTACATTATACTTTCATATTATATTAATTAAATGCTAGCCCTGCGTAACTGCGTCAAATCTGCAAAGAAAATACCAATAACATTCAAAGCGCAATTATTACATTAGCATAGTGATAGCTTCTGTGGAAGATTAGCGAGAGAAAGGACAAAACCGCCATTAAATCATCACAGATACAGAACAGAACCTTCACAAAATCTTACGCTAGGGTCTAATTTTTTCTCTAAAAATACAAAAAATCAACAAAAAATGGGATTTATTTAAAAGAATTTGCCAGAGAAAAATAATATTTATTTGATTTTTTGAAATAAGATTTTTCCCATTTTGAGAAGGTAAATTGGAAATTATTCTACCTAGTACCAAGATGAGATTTCTTAGAAATGGATACATCGGAATAAGCAATATTTGCTTCCCAGAGTTCTTGAACCTGTATATTGAACAATAGTAGCTCAGTTCAGTATGTTTAAAAGAATTCAGGTTTGTGAAAATAAATCCATCAACATGGTGATATAGCATTCTGATTTATCTAATCCTTGCTTAGCTGTGAAGAAGGATAAAACAGACAGTGGTTGCGTACAAATATCAACAGTTGTGAGGAAGGCTTGGTCAATTACATACGTGGCAAAGTGGGTGGTCATCGATCAAGTTTGATCATTGAGTATAAGGTTGTTACTATGACCAGGTACGGAGAAATGGGGGGGGGGGGGGGGGGGTTAAGAAAATAGTTAATAAAAAATATATATTTTCTCTCCATCTGTTGAGATCCGAGCATGGCCTTTTATAAGATTCACGATTTATGATGTCAAAATGTGCTTGTAAGAAAGAACCATTACAGCAAATGAAATGGTGTAAACAGCTTCCTCTTACGTATGTATTTAGTAATATGAATGAATCTCAGGACGTGATTAGGTGTTAATTTACCAAGGGAGCGAAAATGATTTGTTCAGGTTGGAAATCTTAGGATCGATCAGTACAACTTATTGAAATGAAAAACATATTTATTTGGGATTGTGTATGCATAAAGTATGATCGAGTGGAATCAGCTTTACAAAAGATTATCTGGGAGGGAGGGGGGATTGTTACAGAGTGAAAACAAAAAATGGGAAACCAATTCGACACATGATTATATTATATGTACAGTAACTGGAACGCTTGTAATTAAATATACCTATTGTTTAAAAAAACATATTATCAATATGCAGAGTTAGCAATTGGTTATGTGGGGGAGAGACTTAATCTCTGCCAAAATATTTGTTGTTGATGAGTGGAGTTTCAAAATAAACAATACATGCGTTATAACAGTCCAGAAATCAGAGTACTATGTTAAACACAATCAATGTCACTTGTTCTAATTTGGACACTAATATGGCACATTTTGAGAAAATCTCATAAAATACCATATGATAACATGTTATTGTTATTGGAGATCGAGTTGGAGATCTTGTATAAAATTGTGGCAAATTGCCAAATTAAATTGGTTGCAAAATTAATTCAATTTACAGTACAGTACAGTATATACACTTTACTGGAGTTAAGACATCTTGACTTATTTTTGATACCAAGAAATATGTTGCTTCTTAAATAAAAAATAGATGTTTTTAAGAAGTGTATATTACAATGCTTTATTTGGCAATAATGGACTGCGGCGAGGGGTAATAGATTAAGGGGAGGGGAACTCCAAGGAAAGGAAAGTGATTATGGTCATGATTAGTTCTCTGGGACAGATCATCTATTCATTAGATTATCAAAGAAGAATTGCATAATATTTGTTTGTCTTGA